TCTCTCTCTCTCTCTCTCTCTCTCTCTCTCTCTCTCTCTCTCTCTCTCTCTCTCTCTCTCTCTCTCTCTCTCTCTCTCTCTCTCTCTCTCTCTCTCTCTCTCGTGTTCCTTCATTTTCTCTCCAGTACATGAGACTTGGGATGGTGCAGAAATGAAGCTTGTTTGGTCAACTGGGAGGGGCCCTCTTTCTTTCATAACCCGGGAGTGCCTTTAACATGAACGTTGGGGTGGCTGAAGAATTAGAAAGCGGTGATGAGTAAAGACGAAGAAAGAGCAAAGGTACAAGCCCGGTACTTTGAGCACTCAGAATGCGAAACTATCCCAAACGGCGTCAAGATACGTTCCCCGCCCTCCCGTCAACTCAGACTCCCCCGGGTGTCATCGCCTTCCGTCCCATCCCCTCCAGCCTTGGCCCCATTGGGGATGGTCCCCCCACGGGTCTCTTGCTGACAAAACGGACGAGAGCACAACCTGAGTTCCAGCTTATTTGAGCACCCAACCCACAGAGCAACCTCACGCTAATGCCCCCAGCGTACACATATGGCTAATTGTCAAAGGGAAACGTACTAGTAGGCGATCTGGACCCAGCCTTTCTTTTTTTGTTTTTGTACTTTTATCCAGCTAACTGGAGGAGGGAAGTGTCGGTCGACCTGAGGCAACCAAAGCCATACTGGGATATGTTGCAAAAAAAAAAAAAAACCGATACCGGCGAGGATAGGGGGCACAGCAGTGACTCCACGTGCTAGAGGTTGTGAGTGGGTTGCACGAGATGGACCGGCTGAGAGCCACACTGAAAAGAAACAAAAGAAAAAAAAAGGCCGCGCGACACAGGACGGGCCGGGGAGGCCACGAGTTGAGTCGAGGGGGTAGCGGCACGCACGGCCCTCGAGGCTACACCAAAAACGTAACAGAAACGATTGTGGCCAGTGCTGTCCCTGGCCCGTCCACACACACAACCCGAATGGGGTTTGAAGAGCAAGGGCCACACATGGCTAGCATGCCACGAGTGTGCGGCAAACGGGTTTGTGGCCTTCGGGAAGAGAGGCGTGAACCGTCGGCCGTGCACAACCCGCCCTGTCCGAGCACGGCCCTTTCCACCGAGGAGCCGTTCGAGCGGAAGGGAGGGGAGAGGTATTTTTTGTCTGCTCAAAAAGAAAGCCCAACGGAGCCGACGGGGGGCGCTAGGAAGCTGGGTTGGGCATGGGAACACAGAGGAACGACTTACTCGCGTTACACAGCAGGTCATAGCCGTGGAAAAGGTACACTCTACACTAGCACACAGACGCACAGAGCCAGGCCAGGGGAGGAGAAGAGAGACAGTTGAATCAGACAGTGTCGGGTGGCACGACAGCAGACAGTGTGGCCTGGAGAAGGATCGGCGGGTGAGGGGCAGTATTAGACAGCAACAGCCCAGGCCGTGGGCGACCGAGGTCAAATAGAAAGGGGGCGTGTGTCTCCTTGATAGATTGGAAATGTAAGCAACGGAGCAGGGGCTGGCGAGCGAGCGAGTGAGTGTGGCCCAGCCCAAAAAGATCATGCCAAGCACCAGAAAAGGCATGGGGTCTTGAATTGAGTTCCTCCCCTCCTGCTAGCCTCGGCGGGCAGACGTCTACCCCTCGGCCAGCCGCCGTACGTAATCAGGTCTATATAACATGCCTCGGACCTGAGGCTCGGCGGAAACGCGCCAGGCCGTGCAGGGCATCCCGGCCCGGGGGCGCTATATCGGGAGGCACATGCCGCGGTGCTCATATATATATAGGCAGCGGCTTGATGGCATCTCGATCGATTTGGATCGGTTTTCGTCTGCTCTTCTTGGCATGCCGTAAACGTGTCAAGAAGTAAAGGGCAAGAGGGCGAGGAAGCCCGGGCTTTGCAGGGGGGAGAAAGAGGGTTGGACTCACAGACGGGGGCTCGGATCCGGGAACAGCATGGCCCATGGGAGATTTCTCGTGTGAGGATTATAGCTTTTGTTGTTTATTTCTCTTTTCATCGTCGTTTCGACGCACACACGCCCCGCACCGTCGTCGGACCCAATCTGATGGACGGTTTGACGTCTCCTCCCTTACTCGAGCACGCCTTGCTTCCGGCCCGACCCCGCCTCGGACATCGAGATCTCCCTGAGCAGGAATGCCGGCTGTCAGACTCGAACTGCCTCGATCGCCTGGTCCGCGCCCTTCGACCCTTGTCGTCTTGGCCACTACGCATCTACTTGTGCAAAGCGTGTCAAGAGGGAGGTAATTTCTGGGGCTTGTTTATGTGCGATGCTATCGTGGCGTGCGCATGGGATGATATAGGACGGCGGCAAGCACAGAAACAGCCCGGCCTAGCTGGACTGCCCTGCGCCGTTGGAAGCGAATGCCTCTTTCATGGCATTGTGCCAAATTTGCTTCGCTCCCAGGAGGTGGGCATCCCGGCTGGTTTGTACGGGCGGGCAGGGACATGAAAGGGAATGGAGGATGACGCCTGCAGTATTATGCAGTGCGAGCTCAGGGCATCAGGCGGGGCGGCGGCGCAGCAGAGGGACACCGCTGATCTGCACAAGCCGCCGCCGCATAGGCCGGCCGGGGAGGTGGCAGTGAACAGAAGAGCTGAGGTAGAGTCGCAGCTGCATACGGAACGCATACTACATTGGCCTTCCTGCCTATCCATTGGCACGCGGATCCTACCGCATGAAGAAATGGGCCAAACTTGGCAGTCTGCTTACTCAGTGGGGCTTGTGCTTGGCGAGGGGGGTGCAGTGTCGAGGTTGCGAGCTGCTATCGGTTGTGTCAAGGCAGCTGGTACCACAATCCAGAACGACCAGCCTGGGTCCAGGCGTTGGCAAGTCCTCGGCGGTCCGTCGATACCGAAGCCCCTCTCTGGCAGACGAGCCGAAAAGAGCAAGCCGAAGCCCAGAAGCACCCGCCGACCACGCAGCCCTCGAGCCGGAACCAGAATTCACGGCGCGCGTACCCCCGGAGACCTTTCCCCCTGGGGTCGAGGTCAGGGAGGACAAGGACAAGGACACGCAGAAGGCCGGAGGGCCCGGCGGCCCTCGCGGCCCAGGCAACGCGCGTCTGGCACGACAGGGGCGGCGACAGCGGGGCGAAGCCCAGAGCCGAGAGGCTCCTAGTTTGGGGAAACCAAGGCTGCGCGGCCTTGCCACCGCCCTGCACGACGCAGGCGGCGGACGGCGGCCAGCTGGTCCAGCCCGGCCCAGGTCGCTCGCCCCCGTGGGCCACTCGGCAGCGGAAGCGAGGCGTGATGGGGGGACGCTGTGGGAACCATGGGGCAGCATTGGGGTCCAGGGGACTGCAGCTGCCGCTGACTGCTGTGGCCGCTATACGAGGGGGACAGAGGCGACATCTGGGCAGGCAGAGGGCCAGGCAGAGGTCCAGCCAACGTCGTAGCGGCACAGGGATCTCGGAGATGGGCGTGCCATTGCTGGCGTGGGCGGTAGGCTGGTGGTGGTAGGTGGTAGTGCCAGGTGTGAGACAGGAGGTAGGGCACCTACGAGGTACATGATGGACCGTGGTTGGCTGATCTTGGCCTGAACCGTTGTTCAGATTGGCGTGGTTCGTGCACGGTCCAGGTTGCACACGCCATGCACGAAATCCAGGTCCACGCCATGCCGGATTGGGAGCGGAGACCCACAGGCAATGGGGCAGCCCACAGCAAAAGCCGGTTGAGGTGTTTGCGAAAAAAAGTCTGGGGGAAAAAGACAAGCCCCAGTCCATTGGCAGTCAGTCCATTGCAGCCAGTCCATTGGGATTGTGAGTGCCAATCCTCTGCGCTTGCCCAGCTGACGTTTCCCGAGCAGGGAGATTCAAGCGCGAGAACCATCCGGGCCATTTCGGTTGGAGGATCATTTAATCTCTCGGCGTCGCATTCGGAACCTGGCCTTGTCAACGAGAAAGCGGCCGTTGCCACACACACACAACCCTCAAGACGACCCTAGCTACCACGCTCCCCCGGAGAATAAAACGATTGAATGGCAGCTTCCACCTCTCCCAAGAGCTGGAGATGGCCGCTACCTGGTCTAGCCTCGAGGCGGGTCGATTGGCCTTGCCTCTGATCTAAAAGTGAACCCTCCTAGCCTCCCATTTTTATTAACTCAATCAAGACCCGAGGCCTACCTCATTACTGTGTAGTAAACGGCTGCTGATCCGTCACCATCCAGAGCCTGCAAAAACCGGGTCCCTGCTCATACTCCAATATCCAACCACTTTCCCGTTTATCTCGTGACCTCCCGACCCAACTCGTCTTGGCCCGCGTCGCTTCCCCGCTGCCGCAGCTTGCCCCGCTGCCGCAGCTTGCCCCGGCTCACATCACGGGTGTGTGTGCATCCTGCGTCTTCTGCCTGCGCTCTCGGTTTTGGCCATTTTGCCTAAAACCCACCCGAGTCCTCTCGGAAGCTGTCATGTCGTCTTCCCTGCCCAGGTAGGCACCTGTAGACAACTAGCCAGCACCGGCTAGCAACCGCCCCCTGGTTCTCCAGCAGCCGGATCGCTTATTCTCTTCTACACCCCTCCCCCTTTTTAGCGTCGTCGCTTGTGTGGCCCCAAAGCTGCGGTTGCACGTCACATCGCGTCACCTGGGCCGCCGACTCACGAGTCTCTCCTTTCCCTTATGTTTGTTTCCCATATCTAACAAAAGGGCGGTCCAGGCGCTTGGAGGGGTGTGTCCCCTCCCCTGCGCGGCTACCAGAAGTGTGGTACCGGTAACGCCTAGGAGCAATGCCCGTCGGTGCCGAGGGCCGGTGAAGCGGCTGGGCTGTCAGTTACTAGTGGCTCCTTAGACCATGCTTCCGCCTCCATGCTTCCTGCACTCCTTTCTCTCGTGTTTCCGTCCGGTTAGACAGCTGTGCCACTGTGGCAGTCAACAGGGCAGTGCAGCTGCGCCTCATCTGTGTCTAGACAACTCCAGACAACAACTGTCGAGTCCTGTGCCACTCGCTACCCTCCCACCCCTGATCCTAGAGGCCCTGCCCTGATACCGCGACGGCAGACCCGGATACAATCACGGGAGTAATCACGAGCTGGTGGGGGTTCGTACTGGAAGAGCCGCCAGTAACACCTTGTTCAAGGATCGGATTCCCGGTTGGTTGCTGGCGTGCTCTCCAGTGGGCACGCTTGAATACATCCGAACTGGTCCTGCTGTCATTCAGGCGGAATATTGACACAAGTCGTTGGACCCCAGCTCTCATCGGCACGGTAAACTCGTCACCATGGCCAATCTTGGTTTCGCTCCAAGAAGGAGGCACGCTCTAACGGGTGCTCCATCCAGCGGCCGCTGTCAACGGACTGCTCGGGGGTGGCAGACAACTTGGCGACTAGTTGTGCGGAAATCTATTGCTGCCAACCCAGCCAGAGCGCGCCTACCGTTCGCACTGTCTCATCCCGACTCGGCCTCCGGCTTCAAAGAAAAAAAATACAAGCCTCTTCAGCAGATCAGCCGGCATCCGGCATCCGGCAGATGGCCGTCGGCAAGCACTTTCCTGCGGGAGAGGGGTGGCGGAACCCGTCAGAAGACGACCATCATCAGGAGAGGGGTGAGAGAAGAAACCTGCAATATCATCATGCATACTGCTCTCGACATACCTCCCTTGGCCTAGTCCTTACCCCCCTGTATATCGACAATCTCTGCATGAAGAGAAGCGAGCCGGGGAGGCCTGGCTGGTCATGACTTGGCTGTGCTCCAGCGGTGAGGGGACTTTATGAAAAGTCAACAAGACACGCAAGCCTTGCAATCCAGCACTGATATCAAATCAAAGGCTTGGCTCCTGCCTTACATCGATATTCTCCCATCAAGAAAAGTGAATAATGACGGAGAATGGGAATAAAAACTCAACGGACAGCGAAAGCTCGTCGGCAAGGACGACCGGCATCGACTCCCGGTCTACATGGTGGTCAGCACAGAGCGAGGTCTCGCTGTTGCCGGCTGTCAGAGCCCTGTACATGGAGACGGGTATATTGGACCTACCATTTGCACAGCTAACCCACCCGCAGGATGCGCGCCGGCGCTCATCGAAGCCATGCCTGAAGCAGCAACACGGTCCGAGACCACCTGATCCGCGTCTCCCCACCCATCAAAACGCAGTTCTGTCCCATGCAGGGCAACACGAGGCAAGCAAGCAAGACCAGCGGCGAGCCGGCGATGGAGCCAAGCATGCGGGGGCCCGTAGCAGCATCGCGGGGACGTCTCTACATTGCGGCCGAAGAGTCCGTCATGCACCTGACAGGTATGGTTTCCCCAGCACTATCGGTATATGACCACCTGGACCCGCCTATATCCCGACCCCCCCTCCTCTGCATTATGCGGGTGCCGACGATAGGCGCGCGGGGGGGAGAGGCGTCCCTTGCACAGGACTGCAGTCAGAACCGTTAGAAGCCGAACGACAAGCCGTTGCCGGCTGCCGGGCCGGCTGCTGGGGCCGTTTAAACGGATCAGACCTGTCTCTGAGGAGATGGCACTGCGGGTACCCAAGCACACACTAGCTAGTGGCCAAGGCCTCGGCCGCTGGGTCCGAGGGTGAGGCAGCGACGCGCAGGCGAGCAAACTTGACTTCCTACAACACTTTTCTTGGCTTTCCAGAACGCTAGACAGTGCCTTGGGCGTTGGGACGGGGAGGCGGAAGAAAATTACTGGCTGGCTGTTGGTCTTCTGGGCCATGTAGATAAAATAAGTTGCCTCTGGCTTGGTTCGCGTTGCCAAGAGAGCGAGGCTAGTCGGAGAATAAAATAGAGAATTGCATTTTGGATGGCTCTCCATCCCTCTTTTTATCCCAGATTGTCAGCTTAATCAAGCGCGAGATTTTGCCAAACAAGGCTCGGAATCAAAAACACCCCCCTGCGTCGGGAGCCCAGCCTCGCGCAACAGGTATGCCCGTCCTCGAAACATGGGCTACCTGGACGATTTCCTTTGGTAATTTGGTCTGAGCCAAGCAGCGTAAATCGAGATGGGGGCGAGAGAAAGAGGGAGAGCGTGGCTAGGTCGCCCGGTCTTGTGTTTCCAGATCCGGGTCAACTGTTATTTGCTACCAGAGTGGCACTATATACTAGACAATAATGAATATTAAAAATGATGTCGGTGTTTTTGTTGTTTGACTATTTCTATTCTCCAAAATGCCCCGATCCCCAGCGCCCGACACGGAGCCTGTCTGTACATGAGCCCGCCGAGATGCGAAGCAAAGTATGAAAAAAACAATAGATGGCAACGGATGCAGAACATGAAGGCACACCGAGAAGCTTATGAACGAGCCGCCACCATCGACCGCCGCCGCCGCCTCTCTCTACTACTCCTGAACAACCCCGTGCCCCGCCGGCCGCTGCCTTACCGCCGTCTTCTCGACCGGCTCCGCCGATGACGTGGCCCCCGCTGCCCTCCTCCTCCCGTCCTCGACGTCGTCATCATCACCGCCCGTCGACCCCGCGACAGCATCCAACAACACCCCGTCCCCGGGCCCCGCCGCCGCCGCCGCCGTCGCCCCGTACACGCCGCCAATGTTGGCCATGGTCAGCGCGCTCGCGGCCGGGCCGTCGAGCACGGCCAGCTCTGCGGGCTCGAACCAGCGCGGCAGCAGCAGGGCGCGGACGGGGATCAGCGCCAGGATGAATACCGGAAACGCCACGGCCGCCACGGTCTGCGTCACGGCAAAGGTGGCGGCGAAGGCGACCAGCTCGACGGCCACAAAGGCCCAGATAACGGCGGCGGGGCGGCGGCCACGGCGGGGGTGGAGGCGCAGGAGCGGGTGCGAGGGCGGCGTCAGGGCGGCGTCGCGGCACAGAAAGGCCAGGTTGGCCGTGACGCCGTTGGCGGCGAGGGCCTGGGCGCCCATGACGAAGAAGAGCCCCGCCAGCACGGCCTGCGGCACCAGGTGCAGCACCGCCAGCAGCGGCGGCGTCATGGTGCCGAGGGTGAGCAGGCCCTGGGCCAGGTTGGAGACGCGCTGCTCGACGACGTGGGTCACGCGCTGGACGTGGCGGCGGGGTTTCGCGGGAGGGGGGTGGTCGGTTGCGGTTGCGGTTGCGGTTGCGGGCGGCGGCTGGTGCTCGTTGCCGCTGGACTCGTCGCCATCGGCGGCGGCGGGCACCAGGGCGGTGACGCAGAGCGACTCGGTGTGGAACGGGGCCTGGGGTATGAGGCCGTTGGGGAAGGGCAGGCCCAGCAGGCCGGCGACGCCCGTGGTCAGGCCGAGCAGGAACAGGTCCCAGTGGAAGCCGGCGGGCTTGCGGAGCGGGAACTCGGTGCCCTGGGCGATGAGGGACGAGACGTTGTGGTCGAACCAGAACAGCACCGTCAGCAGGACGGCGAAGGGGAGCGCCAGGAACACGTGCGCGGGCCCCAGGTTCCAAAAGTCGACGACCCAGCCGCGCGGCCGCAGCGTCGTCGGCGCAAAGGCCGGGCCCGTCGGCAGCACCTCGAGCGGGATGGCGGCCATGCGGCCGACGTGCACGAAGCCCGCGAAGAATATGACGGTCAGCGGGGTGCCGTAGTCCTTGAGGAAGACGCGGACCGGGTGGGAGAAGAGGGCGCCGTCGCCGAGGCGGCCGCAGAGGTAGGCGACGCCAAAGACGAGCACGGCGACGGCGACGGAGAGGTAAAAGGGCTCGCGGTCGCCCAGGCGCGTCAGCACCTCGACGCCCTTTTGGATGTAGATGCAGGCGACGTAGAAGCCAAAGACGTCGCAGGGGAAGCGCGTGACGTAGCGCAGCCAATTGCACGAGTTGGTGACGGCCAGGACGCAGTGCAGGACGAGCGACCAGATGCCGATCCAACACATGAAGGCGAGGTAGTTTGTGCCCGTGGGGCTCATGATGTCGTAGACGGTGCTGGAGAGAGGGTTTTGGTTGGTATGAGTAAACAAACAGAACGTTGGACTTGTAAAAGGCGCACTTACTAGTTGAACACGGTGATGGGCCCCGTGACGCCGACGATGACCAGGGGCTGGCAGGACAGCAGGGCAAAGGCCACGGCGCCCAGGACCGAGGACAGGAGGACCTCGTTGACGCCGAACTGCATGTCGGTCTTTGTGAACATGTCGAGCGAGAAGGCCAGGGCCGGCAGGATGCTGTGACGGGGTTAGTCTAGTGGCTGCTTGGACGGAAGTGAGAGGATAGATATCTATAAGACGACGCACTTTGCAAAATACATGTAGATGGTGGCGGGCACCACGCGGTAGTCCCAGGCGTCGGTCCAGTCCGAGGCGTAGTGGGGCAGGCGCTGGCGCACGTCGTTGATCATGCCCCGGAAGAAGTGAATTTTCCACCACCGATCCCCGGCCCGTCGCCGGCCGCCGCTGTCGCTGCCCGCCTGCTCCTCGGCCATGGCGCCGGGGGTATCGCGCTCAAGACTAGAGTGGGCGGGGGACGGGGTGTGGCTTCGGGCGACGGCAGCGGGACGGATGTTATCATCGGAGAACTGTCGGTCCATACCGTTTTGGTTTGATGCGGTGTGGGCTTGGCCCGCCATCTTTTTTTGCTTGTCTCTTCGGTCACTGCAGACATGCAAGAAGGAACAAGCCGTCAAATCGGGACTGGACGACAGTCGTCTGGCACAAAACGCTGATTTCAGCAATTCGCCTGCCCTTTTGCGTTTGTAAAAAGTTGGAACAGGAATTGGCGCCGATTGAATTTCATCGACTTGGTCATTCAATCCGATTTCCAAGATCGGCAAACACCTTGAGGCTCTTGAGCAGGCCCCACAGCGCCTCCGCGGGGACCCCTGAATCGCCACTACCACTACCACTACCACTACGTCAAGCCGCTTTGCTTTTCTCTACTCTACATAGAAAAGCCCCCGTTGCCTCTGGCCAGTATCCCCCCTCAGTAGTCGTAAAAGCCCTTGCCGCTCTTCTTGCCCAGCCACCCCGCGTCCACCATCTTCTGCAGCAGCACGCTGGGTCGGTACTTGGAGTCGCCCGTCTCGGCGTGCAGCACCTTCATGATAGCCAGGCAGGTGTCGAGCCCGATAAAGTCAGCCAGCTGCAGCGGGCCCATGGGCACGTTGGTGCCGTTCTTCATGATGCCGTCAATGGCGTCGCGCTCGCCCACCCCGGTCTCGAGGCACGTCACGGCCTCGTTGATGTACGGCATCAGGATCCGGTTTGCCAGGAACCCCGGCGAGTCGGCCGACACGGATGGCACCTTGCCCATGGCCTTACAGAAAGCCACGGCCGTGTCGAGCGTGGCCCTGCTGGTCTGCAAGCCGCTGATGATCTCGACCCCCGTCTGCACCGGCACCGGGTTCATAAAGTGCGTTGCCACCACGCGCGAGCTGGCCGACGTGTCGGTCGGGTCCGCCGTCGTGGCCGCCGCGATGCGCGTGATGGAGATGGACGACGTGTTGGTGGCTAGCACCGCGTGCGGCGGGCACGCCTTGGCCAGCCGCGCGAATATGTCGTACTTGAGGCTCGGGATCTCGGGCACCGCCTCGATCACAAAGTCCACCCCACCCAGCCCCTCCTCCAGCGATGTGCTCGACGTGATGCGCCCGAAGGCCGCGTCGGCCTCCTCCTGGCTGATGCGTGCCTTTTGCACGTCCTTGGCCAGCAGCTTCTGCGCAAAGGCGAGCGACTTGTCCAGCGCCCCCTGGTTCGAGTCGACCAGCGTCACGGGCACCCGGGCCGTCTTTGCGGCCACCAGTGCTATCCCGAGTCCCTGTCTCGGCATGTCAGCTAGAGGCTACTGCGTGATTTGTGATTTCCAGCATTTGTAATGTTCAGCACGTGTCAGACCAAAACTCACCATCTGGCCCGCGCCAAGCACTCCCAGCCGCTTGACCTCAGCGGCCCTCCGTAGAGGCGTCGAGCTAAAACATCTCAGCTGCGATGCAATCCTGGCCGTCTGGCTCCTGGCGACAAGCGAAAACGACATTGTGGCAGCTGCGTCGCTGGTGTTTGTTCCGAGGAGAAGTTGCCAGCTCCATCTCCAGCAGCTGATGAGATCATCTTCAGGGGCCATTCAGTGCGGCTAACCTCGGCCTAGCGTAGGGCCAGGGCCCGTGCTCCAGCGTGGGTCAGGTCGTGCACGTGCCGGTACAGGGGTAAACCTCGGAATTGATTGCCCCACGCTGCACTAAGAGCGCCCACTCCAGACGCGTCCAGAAATTTCAGAACGCGTCTCCCATCAATTGACAGCATCAAGCAGCCCATGCACCCCAAGGCGAGGCTGTGGTGGGGACCTCCCAAGACAACCACCTCATCGACGCTGCACCTCCCAGCCGGCTTCAGCCCAAGCCCTAGCTCGAGCCCATCCTCCCTGAGCCCATCATGGAGGCGGCTGAAGGAAGCAACGATGTCGTTCACCCTGAAGTGCGGGCGCACATCAACAGCCTCGTCTCGGCGGTATGTCTGCCCCTGACTATCATCGTCACCGTCACCGTCCACGCCATCCAGCCTAACTCGACTCCCCGCCGCAGCTCGGCGGTACCAGTGCCGACGACGATGGCCGCTATAAGCTCGGCGATGATGCCCTCGAGGTGCTGCGCGACATGAAGCGATGGATCCGCTTCTACGATGAAAAGACGAACCGCATGGACGTCGCCCGCTGCCTGGCCGAGGCCAACGCCGTGGGCGGCGACCTGCTCCCCATATTGGCCCTCTGGCCCGAGGCCGAGGCTGACAGCCGCCTGCGCGCCCGCATCGCCCTCGCCTGCTACGAGATCCTGACCCCCCTAACATGGCCCATCGAGCGTGACCCCGAGCGCACCACCGTCAACCACTATCGCCACATGCCCGTTCTGCAGCTCGCCCAACTCGCCTACAAGCGCGACATTGTCAACTACGACGGCGCCCAGATCCTGCACACGGCCGTCCGCGTCGCCCTGCCCTCCATGGCCATCCCCGCCGCCGACCGCTCGCCCCGCGACCAGGGCATCATCAAGCTGGTGCTCTACTTCCTCCGCAACATCGCCGCCATCGCTCCTCCACCTGGTCTCGGCTACGACGGCGACGAGTCCCAGATCTCGCGCTCCGCCACCGTCGACGCCTTCTCGTACCAGGACGTCTTCCTCGCCCTGCTGACCGTGGCCTCCAACATTGGTGACGACTTCCGTACCGAGGACGTCATCGTCATGGAGATCATCTTCCACCTGGTCAAGCGTGTCGACATCCCCAAGTTGTTCCTCGACGAGGACGCCCTAGGCCACGCCAAGGCCGACGACCTCGCCAACCTGATCCAGAAGGAGAAGGCCATGCTACAGTCACACAGCAAGCGGGGACCCACCCGCCACAACCGCTTCGGCACCATGGTCTGGGTCCAGCGCGCCGACGGCAGGATGTCTGCCGTCTCGGGCCAGGACGCCCTGCGCGACAAGGCCAGCCGCGAACGCAAGATGGACGAGTCCAAGACCTTTCGCCCCCCGCGCAAGTCGCGCAAGGCCGAGATGGAGCCCAAGGACCTCGGCCCGCCCGTCTCGCTGAACCCGAGGGCCAACACCCAGCTCAGGCGCTTCGTCGAGGACTTTCTCGACTCGGCCTTTAACCCGCTCTTCCAGCATGTCCGCAAGACCATAGAGAGGGACGCCCCCTATCTGCTCCACCAGCACCGCGCCCAGTTCTTCTACCTCGTCTCCTGGTTCCTCGAGGCGGAGCGCGCAAGGATAAAGACGGACAAGGAAAAGGAAAAGAAAAAGAAAAAGCCGGCTGCGGCTCCAGCTCCGGCAGCTGCAGCTCCGCCACCCGAGGACGAAGTGTCGCCTTTCAACCTGGTCGCCGCCGTCCTAAACCAGGAGATGTTTGTCGCAATGAACCGCGCCATGGATCGGGCCTACAACGACAAGGATTGGCAGGAGCTGACTACTGTGATGCGCTGCTTCACCCAGATCCTGCTGACCGTCCAGGACATGGCAGATGCTGGCGGGGAGGAGAACGAGGACATTGCCGACAACATCCTTAACCGTCTTTTCTACGAGGAGACTACGCACGACCTCATCACCAACATTGCACGCACCTTCAAGGACCAAGGGTTCGAGTACTTGGACGCCTGCACCGAACTCGTCCACACCTACCTCCGTATCCTGGAGGCCTACTCCAAGCAGAACGTGGACATGCAGGTGCGCTCGCGCAAGCGGACCCGCAAGAAGAAGAAGAAGAAGAAGGCCGCCGCTGAGGGAGAGGGCGAGAACCTCATCGATGGCGGGCCGGGCCCCGACGAGGCCGACTCGGGCGACGAGGATGACGAGGCCCAGGCGGAACGGACCAGCAAGGAGCGCAAGTTTGACTTTTCGCGCTTCGCGGCCCGTTTCGTGCCCCAGGGTGTCGTCGACACTTTCGTGGCTTTTGCTCGGTACTACCGCGACCTGGACGACGCGCAGCTCAAGCGCGCCCACCGCTACTTTTTCCGCGTCGCCTTCAAGCAGGACATGAGCGTCATGCTGTTCCGCGTCGACATCATCCACCTGCTATACAACATGGTGCGAGGCCCGGATGCCCTCCCCAAGACGTCGGCCACATTCCGCGACTGGGAGGAGCTCGTCAAGCAGGTGACGCGCAAGTGCGTGCGCAAGATCGAGGAGCGGCCCGCCCTCATCATCGAGATGCTCTTCTCCAAGATCAACAGTACCGCCCACTATCTCGAGTTCGGTTTCGAGAAGCAGACGATATCGTCTGGTTCGTCGGCCAAACCCCGGCCCGCCGCCGAGCTCGAGTTCAAGCCCACGGCAGGCATAGAGGGGCTCGACCGCCAGATCGCCGTCGCAGTCGCCGTGCTGCTGGACAAGAACATGTCCGAGCACATTTCCTGGGTCAAGCAGAAGCTCGAGGACGCCGAGTCTGAGCGCCGTGCCTGGGAGGTGGCCGACATGGCCATGCCATCCGTCGAGGCGAGCGCTGGCGCTGCCGAGGGAGAAGAAGGCGCTGCTGAGAAGCCTAGCGAGCCGCGAATGCCCAAGGAACATTCAGACACAGGTATGCTATCCGCATATTTTTATGACATCTCTTCTCAGTATTCTAACACGCTTGTTCTAGTCGTTCAACCCGATACCGACGCTCGTCGGCTGGCAATATTCAAAAACCCGCACCTTCGTCTTCTCATGAAGCTTGTCGGCTTTGAGCGTCTGTCGCCTGACACGGACGAGACGCCCGAGTCCGTGTGGATCATACCCGCGCGACTGGGCGCCGACGACCTGCTCGAGTCCCTCACCAACATCAGCGCGGCCGAGTTCAGTCCACCCGCGTTCGAGGACGGCAAGTCGGCCGAGGACCAGCTGCGGCGCAAGCCAACAGCCGGTGCGGCAGCAGCCGCTGCGCGCCGCAGGAGGGCGGCGGCCGACGACGACGGCGACGACGTCGCGGGCATGCTGGACGACGACTCGTCGGGCGAGGAGGAGTTCCTCTTTGAGCCCGGCGGGCCGACGGCGCGCAAGCCGGACGAGGCGGCGCGCAAGAAGAAGGGCACACGCCGGCGCAAAGGCGACAAGGAGCCGCCCACCGACGATCAGCTGGACGAGAAGGCACGGGCGCGCCGGGAGCGCGAGCGCGAGAAGTTGCGCAAGATCAAGTCGGCGGCCGTGGTGCACTCGAGCGACGAGGAGGACGACCCCGAGGCGGACGCGGCCTTCTTCGCGCGCGAGCGCGAGCGCATGGCGACCCGCGACGCGCTGTACACGCGGCTGGCGGGGCTGGGCGACGACGGAGACGACATTGTGCCGTCGGCTGCGGACAGCACAAAGCCAGCCGCAGCGGCGGGCGAGAAGAAGGTGACCAGGAAGAAGAACAAGGCGGCCTTTCTCGACGACAGCGACGACAACGAAGACGAAGAAGGCGATGATGAGGACGGCAGCGACAGCGAGTCCGTCGCCAAGAGGAAGCGCAAGTCGGACAACCACGATGATGACGACGACAGCGACGGCACGGCGGGGGCGCCGTCGCCGTCACCGCCCAAGCGCAAGACGGCCAAGAAGCCCGTCAAGCGCCGCAAAAAGGCAGCGGCTGCCTTTGCCGACAGCGACGATGACGATGAAAACGAGGGGGCTACAGAGATGGTCGCTGCGCCTGCTGCTGCTGCTGCTGCTGCTGCTGCCGAGGATGTCGATATGGACGACGATGAAGATGACGAGCCCGTCGCCAAGGCGCCCCCTCAGAAACGGGGGCGGGCCAAAGCCGGGTTCGTCGTGGATAGTAGTGACGATGAATAGGGAGGTGATTCGTCCACTTATATACATGGTGCGGCGTTTCAGGGGTTTGACATTGCATAGCATGTATGAGATATGGCATGTTGCGTTCTGTCTATCTATGTCTTGTTGTCGAGCAGGCGACGGCCGCGCAAAAATTGGAAATACCCTGTGATATCAAGCCAACTGACGCCCGACCTCTCATGCAGAGTACACTCGACTTGTGCTGTCGTGATGGCCTCGCCCAGGCCGCAGATCTCGTTCTATTGTCGTACGCGCCGCCGCTCCAGGTGACCACAAAGTAGCGTTCAAGGGTCAGGAGAGAGACAGATTCGACACATTTCCCCTACAGCTTCAAATCCAATCAACAAGGCAACTCCTGTGGTTTGCTTACCTTTGTATTCACCTTCCATTTGCGTGACTTTGATTACCAGGTGAACATACTTACGACTTCAGCAACGATCCTTCTCACCACATACAGCTACCGGCCATAAATGCAACTAGGAGCTCAGACAGCAGCTCCCACCTCATCAGTCACCATCCCTACACATACCCCAGGCTATCAAAAGGGGCTCTGCCAAGCCGGCAGATGACCCCCGCATTTTCCCCAAAGACAGCCACTTCAGCCAAAAGAGACCGTTGGGAAGGCCGCCCGCTCGGATACCTACCTACGCAAACTCTCATTCATTCCAGATTGTCAAGGCGGGTAAAGTGGCTGAAGTTCACTGGCCGTGCCCATCCCGCCAGATGTATACACTTATCAGTCGTCGGGGGGGCTACCGCCGATTACCGAGCGCCGCGCACCAGTGGTCCATCTTCCGGCTGTCGGGATGGTTCCCGAAGTTGGCCGTTGTTGTGGACTCCGGCAACCCTCGCCGGAGATACATGGGATCTTGGCTCTTCCCCCGCAGTGTGACATGAACATCAGGCCATAGTTAGCATAGCCTATCAACAAGAGCAGCGATAGGCTGAGGGGGGCAGTATACTGGAGAAACACCAAAACTAGGGCATCAAAGACGTGTCGCACGGGCCGGAGGATGCCAGGCCCGGCCTCTCCTCGAGAACATGTACCCACGCCCATTTCCCTGCTTCCAACACCAACCAACCCTCCTCCCCCCATACACCCCTTCGGCCCAACCCCGTCCACACCCTTTTTTCCGAGCCGGCCTGGCGACTCTAACCACACACACACACGTGGAGGAGAGAAGGATCGACGTCAGGTTTTTGATAACGTTTTTATATAGCCAAGCCCGGGTCTTGCTTGTGTAGCATACGTAATGCCGGCACCAAGAGGCTCAATGTCCCGCCCTGTTTGCCCGTATTCCCGGACCCTTGGGCACCGCGAACTGGAGGAGAAGAGATAGGGACACGTACGTGCATTATAACTGGCAATTTGTTTCGTTGCTCCGATAAGGCCACTCGGCCGACTTCGGGCCAGGCGCGTCTCGCGTGTATGTGAATTATCTTGAGGCAAGAAGCTAGCTTTTTTTTTTTCCTTCTCTCTTTTCTTTCTTTCCTTCTTTTTTTGCACATCACACCCAGCCGTTGTTATTTCCTTCGCTTCAACCCACCCCCGTAGGGCCAAACGCAGCCCTGGAGAAAAAAGTCGCTGGCAGACAACGGCAGCAGCAGAAGAAAAGCCGCAATGGGACAAAGTCCAAGCAAACCTGTGCCCGGGACAAAGTTCCGCGTCATCGGCGCGGGCATGTAAGTCGAAGCGGGTCCTCGTTGTCCTAGACGCTCGCTCCCAGCTAAGACAAAAAAAAAAAAAACCAAACAAAAAAAAAAGGTCCCGAACCGGCACCAAAACCCTCAACGAGGCGCTCCAGGTCCTCCTCGACGGCCCCGTGCACGACTCGGGCATCCACTCCTTCTGCGGCACGCGGCAGCAGCAGCACGCCTGGCTCGAGGTGATGGAGCTGACGCCCGGCGTCAAGACGGTCGCGGACCGCAAGCGCCTCGACTACCTCCTCGCGTCGCTGCTCGAGGGCTACAGCTCCACCATGGACACGCCCGCCAACATGGTGGCGGCCGAGATCCTGTCCGTGTTCCCCGACGCCGTCGTGGTCTGCACCACGCGCGACCCCATCCCCTGGGCCGTGTCCATGTACAAGATGGCCGACATGGCCGGGACCTGGTACGCACCCTTTTTCGCGTGCGTCCTCCCGGGGATATGGAACCACTCGAGGTGGTACCGCCTGCACGAGCGCCTGATCGCCTACAGGCTGGGGTACAACGACTTTAGGGTCGAGAGCATCCGGGACCACGAGGAGCGGCTGCGGAGGGTGATCCCGGCCGACAAGCTGTTCTTCTACAGGGTCAGCGACGGGTGGGCGCCGCTCTGCGAGATCCTGGGCGTGCCCGTGCCGGACCGGCCGTTCCCGCACAGCAACAACTTCAACGAGGCCAGGGCCGTGTTCAGGGGCATCATCTTCACGGGGTCGCTGGTGTGGCTGGGCATCATTGGCATCGCCTCCACCGTGGGCTGGCTGGCGTACAAGTATTTCTGGCTGAGCAGGTTTGGGTGAGAGTTTATTTTCCAGGAGATGTTTGTTTTGTATCTGGGATTCTTTTGATTTTAAAGGAGCGTTTTTGCTCCGAATGATTTTTTCTTTGTTTGTAAATCACATTCAGCGAAGCCCGCAGTGCATTGCACCGAGCGAAGCGAGGAGAAGAAGTGCGCGGTAGACCCTCCGGAGGGCCGGAAGCTAAAAGGGGTCCGAAGGGGTTTCCCCTTTTAAATTGCCGCCTAAACGATGGGGGTTATAAAGCGATAACAGGCCGATAAGCATGTGTGTTGGCTGCATCGTCCGGCTTGTTAGCAGGTTGCCGCACTCGCCCAATCTTGTAGTTCGAGCTTGAAGGCATAAAGCCTCGGCCACCAAGATCAGCGGCTATGCACGGGGGCTGTGCGAGAGCTCAAGGGCAGCGGCCACTACCGAGCGTTCCCTTGCGCGGCGGTAGTTGGCGACACCATCGGCTGGGGTCTATATTGGCGGATGCTGTACGAGGCGCCCTGGTCTGGTGCTTGGAAGATAGCCAACTTTTTACATGCACAATATAAGAGCCTTCTCACCCCACGCTTGACTCCATCCATGCCGCTGCAAATGCAGTCTCCAGTCCAGTCGTTGCCCGCTCAGGGGGATATTCTCCTTTGAAATCATACATAAAATGCTTATACTCTGACTGATTCCATGTACCGTCTTCCCAGCAGCACCGCTAATGTCTGGCCCATGCCGTGGTAAATTTCCACTGTTTTCCATGATTTAAATTCGACATCCTTTACCCATACCGGTCGATGGACACCCCATACCCAGCACGTTTGTTATTTTTACTTATCAATCCTACTCTACATTTTCTCCTCTTTCTTGAATAGCTACCACACCCCTTCGTATTCACCCGTTCCAGTTCACTCCCCGCCACCCATCTTCCCAATCCAACAGCACACTGACACATCAACACAAAGACAAACGGCACAAATCCGTCCGTCAAGATTTTCGCTACCTGCCAGGCCCCCATCCGCAACTCTAGGGATAAGGCCCATCACCAAAATACGGGGAGAGGAGAGAGGGAAATGCCGTGGGAGTGACGAGGGTCGAACCCAGAACGGCCATCCATCCACATCTAAAAGTCCGCAAAAGAAAAATCCCAACCCTGTCTAAAAAAAAATGCGACGAGACGCTGTCCAGCCTAGCCCGCCGACTGGCCATTTTGATATGAACAGGAGAATCAGAAAACGAAAAATCGCCTTTCGAGGTATATAAATATAACACATGTTCATGCTATCGATACAAGGGACGTGCCCGCTACCCCCGACCCCCCGCCCGTCACCTCCTCCACTCGGGCCCGTCGAGCAGTAGCCCCCTAAAGGCCTCGGGCTGCTTGGGGGGCAGCGGCGGCCCGCTCTCGGCCGTGGGCGGCGTCGGCGGCGGCGCGTCGTCCCTCTCGGACGGGAACGGCGGCGGGGCCAGGTTCCCCGCGGCGCCCGGCCTGTCGTTGTTGAAGTACTTTGTGAACTCGTCCCGGTCCGAGAAGGGCCTGGGCCCCAGCAGGCGCACAATGTCGTCACGCGACAGCTGCTCCTTGCGCAGCAGCTCCTCGGCCACGATGCCCACCTCCTTCTTGCGCAGTGTCAGCAGGTCGCGGCACTGCTTGTAGGCCTGGTCCACGATGCGCCGCACCTCGGCGTCGATCGTCTGCGCCGTCGACTCGGCGAACGGCTTCTGCACCTGGTTCTGGTCCTGGTTGAAGTGCAGCGGGCCCAGCTTGTCGCTCATGCCCCACTGCGTCACCATGGTGGTCGCCATCTGCGTCACCTTCTTGAAGTCGTCGCTGGCGCCCGTCGTGACGCTCGGGAAGTGGAGCTCCTCCGACACGCGCCCGCCCAGCGTCATGGCCATGCGGTCCATGAGCTGGTTAACGTTCATCAGGTACGCATCGCCGGCCGGGAGGTACTGCGCGTACCCCAGCGCGCCCTGGCCGCGAGGGATGATGGACACCTTGAGGAGCGGGTCAGCCCACTGGAAGAACCAGCCGCAGACGGCGTGGCCGGCCTCGTGGTAGGCCACCGTGCGCTTCTCCTCGGGGCTGAGCACAAGCGACTTGCGCTCGAGGCCGCCGATGACCCTCTCGATTGCTTGCTCAAAGTGGATCATGGTCACGCTATCGGCGTTTGCTCTTGCGGCTGTGCGGTGGGGACATGTTAGCCAGCACATCCTACAAGAAGAGAGAAACGGAAAGAAATAGAGACAGAGAGAAATAGAAACAGAAAGAAATAAAAACAACTCACCAACCAACGCAGCCTCGTTGACGACATTGGCAATGTCGGCACCCGCAAAGCCCGGCGTCAGGGCCGAGAGCCTGCCGCAGAGATACTCCATATCCTCCTTGGTGTGGATCTTGGCCAGGTGCACCTTGAAGATGTCGGCGCGGCCCTTCATGGTGGGACGATCGATGTGGATGTGGCGGTCGAAGCGGCCGGGCCGCATCAGGGCCTTGTCCAAGATGTCCGGGCGGTTCGTGCCGGCGAGCACCACGACCTGCTCCTGCGTGTTGAAGCCGTCCATCTCGGTCAGGATCTGGTTGAGCGTGGCCTCGCGCTCGTCGTTGCCGCCGAACCGGTGGCCCGAGTCGCGCGACTTGCCGATGGCGTCGATCTCGTCGATAAAGATGATGCACGGCGCGTTCTTGCGCGCCTCGGCGAACAGGTCCCGCACCCGCGACGCGCCCACGCCCACAAACATCTCGACGAACTCGGACCCGCTGACGCTGAAGAAGGGCACGGCCGACTCGCCCGCCGTCGCCTTGGCCAGCAGCGTCTTGCCCGTGCCGGGAGGTCCCGACAGGATGGCACCGCGCGGGATCTTGGCCCCGAGCTTCTCAAACTTCTCGGGCGTCTTGAGGAAGCTGACGAACTCGACAATCTCCAGCTTGGCCTCGTCCATGCCCGCCACGTCCGAGAACTTGACCCTGACGGCCGACTCGTGGTTGAAGCGCTTGGCCCGGCTCTTGCCCATGCCAAAGGGCCCGCCCATGCCGCCGGCCCCGCCCCTGCCCCTGGCCGCGTACGTCAGCAGGCCGACGAGCAGTAGCGTCGGCCCGAAGCTGACCAGGAGGGTGCCCAGGATGCCTGGCTGGCTGTAGCTGATGGGGATGCGCTCCGACGTCGGGATCTTGAGCTCGTCCTGCACCGCCTCGAGCTTGCGCTCGAACGAGTCGGCCGACCCGATGGAGAAGTAGAGCATCGGCCCGCGGGCCGCCTCGTCGCCGTACACGGACCGCACCGCCTCGCGGTTCAGCTGCACCTGCACCGTGTGCCCGTCCACCACAAACTTCTCCACCAGGCCCTTCTCGAGGTACTTGGTGCACACCTCCTGCCACGTCACCTCGCGCGACGGGTTATCCCAGAACCAAAAGTACATGATGTTGAGCACGACGGCCAGGGCGAAGACGGTCATGTTGTCGGGCGAGCGCAGGTTGAAGCTGAAGCCGAAGCCTTCGCCGCCCTGCTCGCCACTTCCATCTTTGCCCTGACCCTTTGGCGGCGGGCCCCGGCCCTTACCAGACGCCGGCTCCCGGTCCTGTCCGCGGGGTTTCCTCGACCGCTTGTCGCCGCTCTTCTCCGACCCCTCTTTTCCTTCCTCCTCCTCCTCTCCCTCCTTGGGCCGCCTCGAGTTCACTGCGCCCTCCTCGCTCGCGCCGCGACGTTGCGCCATCGTAGCCCCGTACTGCGCGAAGCAGAGGAACAGCCCCGGCATGCTGAAGATGCTGTATTGGCCGTCCTTGAGGACCGGACTGAGGGTCTCGTACATCTCTGGCGGGACGCCGTGTTGTTTTATGTCCTCGATTATCACCTCAGCCTTCAGGACCGTCGCATCCGTGTACATGTATTCCAGGCCTCGTGGCTTCAGCAACCTCTCCACCACCTCGGGCAGGTGCTCAAGCTCATCTTTGCTCAGCAGGACCCAGCCCGGCTCCAGCGGCTGCGGCGGTGGCGGCTCCGAGGGCCCTTCCGAGGGCCCTTCCGAGGGTTCGGACTCGGGCTCGGTCGACTTTTCCGTCTCTGTGCTCCTGCTGCTGCTGCTGCTGCTGCCAGGGTCCTCCTTGCCGCGGGGCGCGGACTCGTTTGGGCGCTTGCGGGCGGCCAGCGGCGCTTGGTGACTGAAGTGGCGCGGGAACAGGCTCGGCGGCGACCAGGCCCGCGACGACCCTCCCTGTGCCGCGAGGACGGCCGTTACCCGGGGCAGGCGGATGGCGTGGAAGCTCGGCCTCGGGGCGGGGGCAGCGGCGGCGGCGCGCAGGGACGATGACGCCAGGCGGGCCAGCTGCCCCGTCGGTGGTAACCGCACTAGCCTCGACATTGTGTGCTGGTGTGTGTGTGTGTGTGTGTCCCGGTGTGTGCGATCGGACGTGGCGGAAGAGGGCGCCCCCAAAGGGCGGGAGGCGGAAGCGGCGGGAGAGCTTATGACGCGATGGCGAGGCAGAGAAAAAAAATCGGCGGCGGGGAAGAAAAAAACAGGCCACCCTTTCCTGCTCCAACGATTGTTCACGCAGGACAAGCAGGCCGCTGGTACAATGGTTGGATCCCTCTTCTTTGCGCCTGGGACGTATCAGCTGGCACGAGGTCTGCGGATGATGCGGCTCTTGAGCAGTGGTGGAAAGATCAGTTGTCGTCTGTCGCCGCAGCTCGGTTCACTCGGCCGCCCTCATTTCCAATCGCTTCCAATGAGGGCCCCCCATCAGAGCTCCAATCTCCAATTGCTCTCGGAGCGTCGGGCCAGTGTGCTGGTAGCTCCGGGCCCACCAGAGCTATCACGTGAGCACCCCGCCATGGACGACAGAAGTTGCAGCATAGATTTGAACGAGGTTCATTTGAGGCCAATTTCTCACTCGTTGCAATAATTGGATTGCGGATTTATAGCCAAATAACCAGACTACATATACACATGCGTGATTTAAATTCCCCATTGGTGCTTGGAAATGACAGCCTCCCTACATTGCTTTACCTTGTTCCTCCCTTGTTGATCGACTTTCCAAAATACATACCCAATGCTGACTAGTTGATTCCATACCACCATAAATGATGATATGTATTCAAACGAGAATTGTGAGAGGAGATAAAATGCCATTACTTGAAAAAAGTTAAAGACTAAGAGAAGAGAAGTGTAAATGAAAAATGAAAAAAAAATGGTACAAGGAGACGTAACACATCCACGTAACAGTCGTGTTTAGGGAAAGGGACTAGATGAAAGGTATTGGAGAAAATCAAGCAAAATGAGGCCAAAGAGCAAAAGATGGAAAGAAACACGAAGCGAGCGACATCACCTGGGCACGTGGTGCATGTTGCCGCCCATGTTGCCCATGTGCGGCACCGCGCCGTTCTCGAAGCTCGGGTACGCGCCACCGCTCATCTCGGCCCAGTCCCAGTCCAGACTGACGGGCAGCGAGTAGAGGTCCGGCGGCAGGTGCGGCTGCGTGTAGTAAGCCCCGGGGGCCTGCCCCTGCCTGAGATCGGGCGTGAAGCCCGTCATCTCGGCAAAGTTTGTGTACTCGAGCGCCTCCATGGGCTGGCCTCCCCCGGCGCCGTTGCCTGCAAAGTCGTTGGACGGCGGCCAGTTGCTCGGCGCGACCGACGGTGACGAGTGCTGGCTCAGGGGGCCGGGGTTCGTCATGGGCGTGGCGTAATTGCTGTGCGGCGCGTGCGGCGACATATGTCCCCCGCCGTTTGCCGTCGTCGGCCTGTGTGGCGTCGGCGTGTGCGCGCCCGAGCTTGGCGGCCGCGGCGTCGGCGCTGCCGAGCCCGTGCCCGTGCCGCCGCTTGGTCCGGATACCGACCCGGTCGAGGCGCCGGCCCGCCCAGCGGCTCCGCTGGAGCTTTCGTTGTTCTTCCTCTTCCTGCGCCCCGCGTTCTCCTTCTCTGACTTGTCGATCACGAGCTTCGCGATGCGCTCGAACTCGGTACACACCGCCAGCATGCGGTGCACACCACCCGTCTCCGCCTCCACTCCGAGGGTCGACAGGAAAGTAACGACAACGTCCATCAGCCGTGCGTCGGATCGCGCCCTAGGGTCCAATGGGTTCTGGATGATATTGCCAAACAGGGTCACGAGTGCCGATACGGGGAAGTACAGCAGCAGCCTAGCCGAAAGTCAGCGGATGAATTTCTAAAGGCTCAAAAAGATGGGAAACGTCCGGGAATGGATGGGAAACATACCATACGACCGAAAGGTCACCTTGGGGTACATATTTAAGCAGCGATATCGACGCCCTCGCGGCCGCCGAGCAGAGCGCGGCCGACGAGAAGATCCTGGGATTCAGCGGCTTCGCGTTGAGGCCCTGGATCGCATAGTTGGACAGGCGGCTGTTCCAGTAACCGTGGTGCACAGACATGCGATGTATTGTGGTCAGGCAGTTGTAGTACGTAAAGTGCAGGCTGATGACGTGCAGCATGAGCGGCGTGTGCGACGCCTTGATCTCGTGCTCCGGGCGGAAGTCGATCGGTATCCGGTCCTTCCAGTCCTCGAGCTCTTGGTCCAACTCACCAATGGTGTTGAGCAGCTCCCCGTCCGTCTGCTTGGTGGCTTTTGTCGCATACAGGCGGCTGTAGACCCGGCTCTCGATCACGGCCAGCTCACACATGACGCGGAAGAGATTCATCTTGCCCTTGCCGTCCGCCAGCGGGATGTTTCCGATGCTGTCCTCCGGGTCCTCGTCCGGCAGCTCCACATTCATGTCGTTATCGTCCTGTGCCGGCGGGCGTCCCGACCGGAGGGAGAGGTCCTTGTCCAGCAGGTAGGCGATCCAGAACACACGCCTCCGCTGCTCCTGCTCAATCGGGTTGATGCTAAAACCCGTCGCCCTCTTGTGCAGGCCGATACTGTGCGACAGTCGGACGGCCGTGGCGATCAGCAGGAACGTGGGCTGTGGGTTTGGCGTGCCCTGCATGAACAGCGCCATGGCCAGAAGTGCCTGCACGCTCAGGAGGTCAGTGTTGCGCATGGTGAGCTCCGAGAAAACGCTCATGGCGTTCTTGATATACGCCCAGGCCTTGTCGTCCTCCTCCTGTGGCACGAGGCCGCTCATGACGCGCAGCCTGTGGGCGAAGCCGAGCACACAGTTGAAGCTGGCCCACCAGCCGGAGCCCTCGTACGGATTGTCGGAATAGTGGCGCTCCACCAAGTGCATAAACGTCGGCTGGTGAAACAGGGGGAACATGCAGTTGAAGTTCTCAAAGTAGTCCTTCAGAAGCGACAGGGCCTCTGCCTTTGGCGGGATATTGATGAAGACGGGCCGCCGAAACAGGTCCTGGAATACCTCAGGCTTCCAGTTGGTCCACTTATGGTCGTCGATGGACACCTCCGAGATCATCCGTTGGAACGAGTTGTCTCCCGTCTTGGCGTTCACCCACTGGATACCTCTGGGGGAGAAGATGGAGAAGCCCGAGGAAGAGCCTGTGATAATATCGGTCAGTAAAGCAGGTCCGGGGTAAACAGTTCAAGGCGCCCGGATCTGTCCGTTTCTTACCGAGATACCGAGTCTCTCCCGAGTTGTTAGTGACCAGCGAGCACATCATCTCTGACAGAGCCGCGACCTCCTCCTCCTTCTCGCCCTCATTTTCAGGGGTGAGCGAGTTCCTCTTCTCGTCCTTGGGAGGCTCAGGGGAGGTCAGGGCGCTTTGCGGAGTCGAGGCGTTTCCTTCTGGGCCCGACGCCGTGTGAGAAGGTGATGTTGGGTTCGAGGCCACCATCGAGGCCTGTCTTGAGCGAGTCTTTTCTGCGAGACGCCTCTCCAGGGTCCCGAGGTCAGTGGCGCCATCGTCCTCACCAAGAAGGCCTATAAATAAGCACAAGCATGTCAGCAATCTAGATCTGCAGCATGGGAGTTCTCCCTTCCCAGCAAGACATACCAGATAACCTCAACAGGCTCTCCATCCGGCCAAGGCGATTCTCTAGCCCCTCAATGTATTTGGCGCTGCAATACCAACCAACGTCAGTCAGCATTTACATGTTTCTCCTGAAAAGGCAGGCGGCTGCCTCGATATTCTCGCGGCCCACATACCCCTTTGGCGGACTCCGCTTCTTCTCGACCTGGGTGAAGACGCAGTCCGTCTTGTAGTTGATGCAGTGTGTGCAAGCTGGGAGCTTCCCGTCACACTTGATCTTCTTCTTCCTGCACATATCGCACGCCTAGAGGTATAACAGCTCTTCGTCAGCGGCCTGCTGGATACCGCGGCGGCTCTGGCCCGCACACGCTGCCGAGACACACAAGACTCACCCTCGCGATCCTCCTCCTCTTGGCCTCGTTGGCATCGTCCAGGAGCGTGTTCGGGTCTCCAAACATGTGCGCCGTCATATCTGGCGGCAGCTGCATGGGCATTCCATCGTAGCCGCCGAAGATCTGCGGGGGCGGGTTGATGAGGGGCGGCGCCCCGTGCATCTGGGGCATCTGGAATCCCATGCGATCCATGGCAGCTGTGGTTGTGGGGTGATTCTGCGTGGTTTCTGGCTATCTCTCGCCGCGTGGCCGGCGCTGGCCTCGTCTTGCCGGGCCGTCTGCAGCGGAAGGGCTCAGGGCGCGGGGTTTAGTCGCGGGATCGAGGCTTTCCGAGCTGCGGCCAAAGTACCCGCGAGGCGGTTGTGGAAAGAGGAGGAGGCTTTTAAGTGGTGGTGGAGGTGGTGGTGGTGGTGCGTTTCCGTCGGACGCCCTCTTTTTTTGGAAACACGCACGGGATGGGATGGCTGCAAAATTCGTACGTGGTGGACAGGTCCGGGCAGCCGACGCAGGTCCAGGGGCCAGGTACTAATGCGGACAGAAGGAGCGCTGACGGGCTCTAGCTTATTGAGTCGAAGAATTCGTCGGGCTTGGCTGCAGCGAGTTGAGCAGTCGCGGGGATCAGAGGTTGCTAGTGACGCAGGGAGACGTCGTCTCGGCCAGGCGAGGTGTGGGAGAGTTGGATTAAAAATAAAAGCGGCCGAGGAAGCTGCGAAGGGCGTGCTGCAGCGAAGCGCAGACCAAGAGTTTTGGGGGCGGCTCGGTATTGGATTTCTGGGAGGGAGGGCGAGGCACTCGATCGCAGGTGTTCCGATTGCTGGGGTGCTCCAATCGCAAGGGTTTGCGGGCGCTGGAGGCCGTGTCGTGCACGTCGAGGTGGTGTCGTGGGGTACGTCTTGGTTTCTATAATTACGGGCGGGCGGGCTGTAGTCACATCTGTGCTCCCACACCGGCCAGGGTGCTCGACGATTCGCTGGTGTAATGAAATGCAGCCCAGAAGTGAGGGAGGCAAGTCGCCGCAGGCAGTCGCAGGCAGGCAGTCGCCGCGCTAATTATAATCAGCAGTGACGACAGTCCAGGGGCAGGAAAGAAATGTCTAGGATTTGGCAGTTATTTATCAGCAACAGGAACCAACCCCCCGTCACCCTTTTTTGAGGCGCCCGCAGGCCAAGCTGAAAGCCGCCGCCAAGCAGTTGGAGACTGAGAAGAAGTGACAGGAAGCCGACAGGAAGCGGAAGCCAGTGCGAGCCAGAGGGAGCTCCCAACGCAGATTGAGGGGCAGTTCGACTAGCACGCCGCACGCAACGAGCGCCGCGCTAACAAAGGAAGGCCAAAAGCAAGCTTACCCAAATCCAGCGCTGGCGCTGGAGAAAAAAACGTGGGATGGGGCGCACGAAAGAGAGGATGATGGTGCGTCCGAGACAATGTCGGCTGCGGCTGCGAGACTGGCAAAATGGGCGCAACGATTAGGTAGCGTCTAGGATAAAGGCAAGGAAGAGGACGAAGGGAGGAATCGGTAGAAATCGAGGGTTGGAGGTTGGAGCCGTCACAGGCGATGCAAAAGGCAGAAAGGAAAGAGAGCAAGGGGCGCGCGAGGGACCTGGGGTGGGCAAAGAGAACGGACGGTCAGGGATGTAGCAGATCGCTCTTCGGACTGCGGAGCTTCACCTGTCTCCTTATGGCCGTGTGGCCCTCACCTCTTTTGCCTCTTGCTGCCTCGCTTTGCAGGGACCCTTTGCTCTCCGCCCAGCTCCGTCAGCCCATCGCCGGGGCTCCCTCCCCACCTCGATCACTGGGGTGCTCCAATTGCATATCCCGCCCAGGTTCCCGAGGGGGTTGAGGCTGTGCTGGGCCTACCCTGTCACCAAGAGGCTCTTCTGACGATGGCGACAAAGGGGTGGAGCAGGGGGCTTGCTCTCGGTGTGTGTGTGTGTGTGTGTGTGTGTGCTGGTATCGACTGTTTCTATGCCGCCCAATACCACCGAGACAGCCCAGCCCAACGTTCCTACACTGCTGCGTCCAGAAGGACGCCTTCCATGCAACGTGCCGTCCGCCTGCTGCGCGCTGCCGTGTCTTTCTTTGTCTCTGGACACGATTGCCAGAGGTGCCGCGCGCAAGAGGCAGACGGGCCTCGCGTGCGCTTTGATGCAAATACCACCCCTCCTCAGAGAGCGAGCTCTGGCAAGAGTCAAGTGGCGGCCGGCCGAGTCTGGCGAGCAGCCCCTGTCCGCCTGGGTTGGTCTCGTGGGAATGCCAAGACAAGGCTTCCGCATGCCGCATCGCTTCCCCGAGCGAGGTAGTCCCTGTCACACCAGGACGGAGAAAGACGTTTCCTGACTAATGCTCTGCTCGAAAAATGGATAGATAGTGCGAGGCTGTTTCTCTTCGCTCTTTTTTTTTCTCTTCATCTTCTCCTTGGGGGCCTCAAAAATCCCATGCTTTGCGTCCCCACCTGGCTCTCTGGCCAGAGTCCGTGGGTCGCGGGGGAACAAAGTCTTGGGAGTCTCACATGCTGCATTGCGCCTGTGCCGGTGCCTGACCACCACATGGAAACCACAAAGGGCCGCCCGCCCACGCTACCATCCCACGGCCTTGCTTGTCGTGGTATCAGCCGGCCAATCCTGTCTGGCACTTGCATTGCCGTGATCGAGCTGGACGCGTTGCAGATAGAAGCCAGATGAACGGAACGGAGAGAGACCCAGAGCTGACCCACGCCCCTATTCAGAATCCCCACTCGACCAACAGCCTAACGAACCCATCCATGTTTTCCCTTCATCTGGTTCGGCCAATATAATCGAAAGAAAAAGAAAAAGAAAAAAAGAAGGTCGGGGAGAAAGAACTGAATCGCCGTGTTGGGTTTGCCGTATTAGCCGTGTAAGAAATGCGCGTGGCGGCCTGTGAGATACCTTGCCCTAGCAGGAATGTACGGTTACATGGCTTGCGGTTTTTTTCCTGTTCTCCACCTTTAATGCAGGTACGGCACACAATCCCCAGACCCGCGTGCATCCTCCAATGGCCCCGTCCCCACCATACGAAGGATGGAGGGTGGGAGGTCCATGCTCCCCGCGTGGGAGCAAAGCTCCGTTTTTTGTCACAACGCACGCACTTTGGCTCCCCCTTGTCGTCGCCAGAAACGGTCCCCGTCCCGCGGTGACGATTGCCCCCTTGGACGAGACGTCATATGCGCCCATCTCTGTCCCAGCTAGACATAGGGGATCTTTTTGGCGCGTCGGCTTGTTTGTGACGAAAAGGAAAAAAAAATGCAACGTCGATGGGCTTTCATGCAAGGCAGGCCACGTTGAACAAGCAAGGATGAGATGGGCAGAGTGGTGCGATGGCGTGCTCCAGTGGAATTCTCGGCGAAAAGGAGAAAAAAAAATCCGAAGTCCGACAAGAACACCGCCTACAGCCAACAGAGGTTCTACCCGAGAAAGAAAAGACGCCATCGCAGACAACATCCCGAAGAGGCTCTCTTCCCCCTCTAAACCGGCCTGTGCGCGGGCGGCTCCTCCCCGTCCTTTTTAGATCCCGCCCCAGACAGCTACGTGCGACGGTGACATCTTGCGGCACCGACTACAAGTCAGGTCGTGTCTCGATCCAAACCAGCTAAATTGTCGCTTTTGCGAGGGCGCCTATTTCGCCCTGCAGCGGCTCAACCACCAACGGTTTTGTCTCATCCTTCCCACCTTTTGGCCCGAAGGAAAGCGCGGCTGTCAAAACAACATGAAGGCAGAGCGAGTAAGAAAGCAAGAAAGAAAACAAAACTCGACATGAATCACTCTTTGCTTGACAGCCCTGTGGGACAAGGCGGCGGTTCGATCAACCCGTCCAAGCTTTCCCCTCTGTTCATCACCACAAATCCCCAACCTCTATTTTCTTTTCTCCTGCAAGCCCGCGGTGCCCGCGGTGCCCGCGACTGACCATCACAAAATCCATCTTCTCTTGCGGAGCCGAATGACGTTTCACTTGTATTGCAGGACCGGCCGGGGGTGGGCGTTTTCTACCTGATGACGACGGCGGCCCTTTGGGAGCAGGAACATGTGTAGGATCAACGTTTGTCCTCTAGAAGGTGTCGCCCATCAACAACGTAACACGTCCCGTTCCAACCCCGTGGTGCTCCTTGTTTTCTCTCCCAGAAATTCAAGCTACCTAGCAACTTGCCATCAACCGCACGCGTCTCACAAACGGGAACCGTTGGGTGCCAAAGGAGCAGAATCGGGCTACGCCTATGTGCCCAAGGTAGGTACTGAGGTACTGGAGCTCGATGGAACCAAGCACGAAGCACGCGGGGTGGTAACACTGGCCCAAGCACCGGCTAACGACCCCGCCAGCCCTGCCCGCGGGTGTCAAGAAGCCCCCTTGTTTTACTCCGAATCCCTTCACCAACGGGCCGAAAAGGGCGATTCGATGGAGATGTGGGAATAGGCTTTGGGAGGCCTCGATCCACAGTTAGATCATCCAAGGCCCAGAGCCTTAGCCCTAGCATTGGAGCCGCTTCCGACTCCCGAAGTGTGGTGGGCACGTAGACAAAACTTTCCCCATTTAGAGCGGGCTGGGGGGAGAATTTGTCATGAGCCGCAAGGTGGTGGGCTGTCACTTTCTTTTGTTTTGTTCGGCGGCAAACGCAGACCTTTCTCTTGTTCATGTGAGTCGGGTGGTGGCGTTAGTGCTCTCTCGCCTGTCCGGCTGGCCAAAGCGCAAAAAAAAACAAAAAAAACACACAAAGGCAAGCACGCCTCCAGCAAAGAAAAGAAAAACAGAGTTAACCTTTCGCAAGCCCAGCGCACCCCCCCTCGCTCTCGCTCCCAGGTTTCAGGTTTGTCTCATGACTCGGACGCCACAGGACCAACCCGCAGGCGGTGGGGCTAAGCTCTTGCTGCCCTGGGCGGGAGAGTGTGGCCCTAGTGTTCCGGACGTCACATGCATTGCATATTGATCCATGTTTCTTGTGCCTTGTGCAGACCAAGACCCCCCTCTTTATCCGTGGGTGAAGTATGATGTTGTGTGACAATCAGGAAGGAAAAAAAAAGCAAGACTCTGCCCGACCCCGAGATGTCATCCCCTCCCTCCCCTTTCGGGCAATTGCACAAGCCAACGATCAGACGGAAACACACACACAACCCCAACCCCAACCCGGGACCCAGCCAGCTCACCGTAAACGTGGACACCCGGCCTCCCCTGGCCCTCACCTAGCTACTGACACTAGTTCCCGCTGCGCCGGGGAGTTGGCTCCGTTTCTCCCTCGTCCCCGGCGCGCCTCATGCGGGAGGCGCCCGCGCCGCGCGTGCGTAGACGCAGCCCATCTATCCTTGCGAGGGGGGAGGGATGTCATGGAGGGCTAATAACATGGACGTGAACAAAGTTTGCTCTATAGCGGCATATTCCAAAAGGAGGAAAAAAGGCAAGGGAGTCGGGAGCCCGCCATCAGAAGTTGCTACCAATTGCCCGATCCGGCCTCGTCCTGATGGTTCTGAGACCGTCTCTCTTACAAACCCTAAAAAACGGGGAGAAGGGAGAAGGGCTTTTCTTTTTTCCCGCATCGGTGTCTTCTTTTCTTTTAATCATGTGTTTATTTAACTTTGCGAATAGCTAGGCTCCGAGACGATAACAGAGATGATATTGGGGGATCGAGGCGATAAGGAGATCTTTAGACGAATCATAGGAAGTATGGGGTAGGTGGAGCTGTGTTTCTAAAGAAACTTCGGTCCTGTCTACCCATGACTATAACCACCAGGGAGGGAGATATACAACACACCGAGTATAGAATGAACAAAAGTTGTAGACAACCACAAATACGTAGACAAGAAAAAGGGTCGGTGCATGTTTTGCATCTTTTTTTTATTATTTCTCCTTTCCCTCCCCATCGGCCGCTTTCCTTTGGGCTCGTGGTAGAAACTGTTCTTACAGATGGCGATAGCCCGAGTGTCGGCCTGAGTGGTAAGTTTGGTCAGACAGTGAACAAAAAAAAAGGTGCCAGGCGCGCCGCCATCGTTGTGAATTTCCTCAAGATATCCAGGAATGATCTCGTCCATCCACCCGCAACGCAGACAAAAGAAAACAGAAAAAAGGGGGACGTGTGGATCGATAGATCGGTCAGTAACCAACGGTGTTGGGAGGAAGAAGCGAAACAAGCAACACGCGATGTGGAAAAGAAACGCCGGCCTATATGCTTTGCTGTGATATTTTTCAGCGGGGGTTGGTCGCTTGAGAAGACAGAGAGAAAGAGATGACAAAAAAGAAGGAGAAATGGTGGTGGGGAAACACTAAGATTTGAAACATTATTTGTTTATATCAACATATGTGCAACACAACACATGTGACAAGGTGTCGCGTGTCTGTCCCGTAGGGGCAGAGACCAGTGTGACTTGTGACAGAGTCAAGAAAAAAAAACACGCGGGCGGTGGGCGCGGCCTGGAGAAATTAGACAAAAAGTAGGCCCCCCTCCCTAGCCTCCCGTCCCGGCCTCTGTCCCTCCTCTTAATCTCAAGAAAGATGCTCGCTGAACCTCGAGGTCGAAGCTTGCGATCTATCCAGGGACGGTCGACTCCGACCGATGGCGTCAACGCGGGGCGGCGGGGGCATCGGCCTCAGCGGCTGCGGCATGAGCGAGTCGCGCGGCGCGGCCAGGTTTGACGGCGGCGTGGGGGGCGCGGGGCCCGGCGGGCTCATGGTCGGCGAGCCCTCGAGGTGCGGGCTCTGGCCGGCGACGGGCGTGCGGGCCGGGCCGGGGTTCATGACGGCGATGCCGCTCTCGGGCCGCATGGGCGACCCGACGGCGAGCCGGGTGGGCGCCGCGCCGGTGAAGAAGGCCTGCGAGTCGCGGTACATGATCTCCGACTCGTCGCTCATGGTGCTCACGTGCGGGTTCGTGTAGCCGTCGCCGCCGTGCTGCAGCACCGAGGGGAGCTTGCGGCCCGACACGCGGTAGAAGCCCCGCTCGCCCGCATCGCCGTCCCCTCCGCTGGACTGTGGGCTCGTTATCTGCTTCGCGCCCGCGGCGCCGCCCGACAGAGCGGCCAGGGCCGACGGGACGGCAAAGGGAGAGGCCCGCTGTGACATGCGGGTCGAGAATCCGCCAGACGACCCCGGGGGAGCCGTCTCTCCTTCACCCAGCCGCCTGTGACCGGCCTGCTGTTGCTGTTTCCTCCATCGCAGAAGAAACACGATAGCGAACACGAGAAGCGCGACGCCACATATGCTGCCCACAACGCTCCCCACAATGGCAGGTGTTGGAGTCCCTGAACTGGACGCGGGTTCGGGCGCAGGGACAGCTCCGGTCGGGGCTGCAGGACCGCCACCAGATCCGCCACCATTACCGAAGCCATCCGTAGTAGTTGAACTTGGGCTAACGGTGCTGCTACTGCTGCTACGGGTTGTTGACGAGGAAAACGAGGTCAGAGAAGTCGACGATGATTCGGAAGCAGTGAAGGAGATGGAAGTCTCCGTGGTGGAGGAAGAATTGGCGAAGAAACTCCTGACGCTGGTATTGCTGAGAGGCAGAGTGGTCGACGAAGAGCTGGAGTTGAAAGAGCCGGTGAGAGAAGGAAATGTGGTCGAGTTGAGCGAGGAGGGTGGCGGGGAAGATGGCAAAAAGGGGGTGGGCACCGGGGGTGTCGAGCTGATGCTGGTGCTGGTGGCGGACCCGGTGCCCGTGCTTGTGGACGAGGAGGTCGGAAGCGAGGAAGATGCCAGGCTGCTTCCCGGGCTAGGCAAACTGCTGGCGGTGGAGGCCGGCGGCGGCAGCGACTCGCTCGAGACGGTATCGGCCGGGGACAGGGTCCTTGTCATGCCCGTCGCCTCGTCGACCAGCTCCGTCACCGGGGGCGAGAACACGGTCGAGACGTTTATGGGGGAGCCGTTGCCGTCGACGTATTGGATGACAGACACGGTCTGGATGATTCGGGTGATGAGCGAGTCCAGATCGCTGACGCCACCGGCCTGGCGGCGCCGCAGGTCCTGGTCCTGGGACGGATTCAGCTCCGGGTCCGGGGTCTTGGGCGCTGGCTGGGCGTTTGGTAGGACGTGCTGGTTGTGCTGGCGGTGGTGGTGCAGGTGCATGCGCATGTGCGCGTCGGCGGCGTTCCTCGGGTGGTGGACATCGTGGTGGGAGTGCCGGTGCTTGATGTCGGGCGCGGGGGTCTGAACGAATGAAGACCCCCCGTCGCCGGGGTTGGTCATGGCGACGGTGGCGGAGTCGCGCGCTGATCAAAAAACGAGCGTGGGTGGGTTTGTCGGCCGTATCCCGGTTGGGCAAAGGATCGACGATCCTGGTGGATGGATGAAGGTGCAGAATTCAGGGGCGCGGGTTTGCGCTATAATGAGCGTTGTCGTCGGGACGGTTGCTATGTAGTAGAGAATGACGGGTCGACACAGTCCATTGTTTTTGTCCACAGCATGATCGTTCCAGGCCTCGCGGTCAGCACATTGGACTGACGGGCGTCGATTCGAGGCGGTTAAACGGAGATAGCTGGCGACTGGATAGTGTAAATGAATGGCTACGCCAGGCTCTTGGGAAATCTGCTCTCGTCGCCGCTTCCTGCGCGCCGCTCAGAGTCGCTCGTAGGGAGTGAAGACGACGGTGGGAAGACGGTCGGATAAAGATCGTTCGAAGGTCGGATATGTTTGACGAAACGAATGTTTGTTTGTCGAAACGAATGAAACGCGATCCCGGGGGAAAGCTGCTGGATTTGCCGGATCCAGCCTGGTGAGCGAGCGGATGTCTCTGCTGTTGCTGCTGTTGCCTCTTTGCTGCTTCTCGACTCCCAACAACGACGTCGCCGTCAACCAACACCTCCACGCAACAACGAGGAAGAGAGGGGAGGGGGGTGGGCAGGAGAGCGGGCGCGCGTCCAGGGCGAGCAGGACGGGGAAGGAGAGTAGAAAAAGGAAAATAGAATGTTTCTCTATGCCGGCCACGGCGCCCCAAAAGTCCCCAAACCGGGGCCAGGTCCAATTTGGAGAGGGGAGGGTGGTGATGGATGGACTGGCCCCAGGACCCTGCGCCGGGCGCTCTGCGGACTTTTTTTCCCATTTACAGCGTGTTGCCCGTCGAGGCAGCGATGCTGTTAATTTCGCTTCACCCTGGGCCGCCCAATCACGACCGACTGCAGTTCCACGTCTGGTGGTACACAGGAGCCGTCCATGGCCCGTGCTCAGGTACCAAAAGGCATGGTTTGGGTGGGGGCGTCTGCACTCTGCAGGCCACAAAGTGGGGACACTGTTCCGACCAGCAATGGGAGCGAGTCACTTCCCAGCAAGCACTGATCTGACATGGAGACTGACGGGGATTGGATAGAGAGCAAATTGGAAGCCTTTGATGACGCTGGAGCTGGGAAGAAGGATAGGTAGCAAAAAGGGGATGGCAAAAACACAAGAGATTGACGAAAAAGGCTTCATTGCCGTCTATCTCGCGTGCCCTTGACTGGCATTGACTGATGTTCCAAAGCGAGAGAAGCCGACCATTACTAGTACGATCGGGAGACGAGAAGCGGGTCCCCCTAGTTCGTCATTTGCAGCTGCCGCTCTCTTTTTCCTTTTCATTTTCCTTTTCACTCTCTCTCCCCTCGTATTCCACAAACAGCCAACGGCGCGGCGCCTCTGCTGCACGCCAAGCGGCCAAGGTAGCGTCGACGACACTCGGGCGCCCGCGCACTCACATTAGGGACAGACAACTGACTATTTCTATTCCGTTCTGTTATCTGCTCCTCACACGCTTGCTGACTGGCGTGGGCTGATGCATGCTAGTCGACCCGATGCGCGTCAATAATCCTTTGCTCTCACGCGTCTTTATTTTTGGCATGCCGTGATACCAAGTCCCATTTTCTGGCCCGGGCCCAGCTTCGTGACCTGCCTGTGCCTGCCCGCCCTTGCCCTGCTGCTTTTTCCGGTCCAGCAATTAATTAAAATTCGCCTTTTCCCACCCATCCACCCACCTCACCCCCCTCCCTCCACCGTTCGTCCCCGGGCAGGAATGCCGCCCATGGCCCCATGAATCTTGAATTTGAATGTCGTAGCGACGCCATGTGCCCCGTTTTTACCACTCTCTCTTGCTTTTGCTCTTCGCACAGCAACAGCGCTGCAAACAGCCCGTGCTCTGCATTGAGTGGGAATCGACGGCTACCTCGAAACGTTTCGTCGGCTGTGTCTCTCCTCCACCCATTGTCCTCTCTTTTCCCAATGGAGGGTGGAGATTCCGTCCTTCTCGTCGGGCTTCTGTCTCATCCCGCACTTGCACCGCTGCTCTCCCGTTCCGCGACTCCCCCCCCCTCCCGGCCGGAACGCCGTGTCACCATCGAGACGGACTAGAACGACAACAAAACCAGCAACTCCAGACGGGAATCCCCTCCCAAGGCCGCAGCAGTACCCGACGCGGCGCATGTAGGTGCTCCCGTCCAGCGGGTACGTGCCTTTCGTTTCTTCCTGCCCCCTCTCCTTGGCAACCTGGCGACGACGGCTGCTCCCACCTTGTCGCTACGTGCCTAGGGCGGACGGGTGGTGGTGGACGGACGGCCAAGACCTGCCCTGCGGTGGAGACAGCTGTTAGGGTTTTGTGACTTTTTTTCTTCTTTCTTCTTTTTTGCGTCCGCCAAATCGCGTGATGTCCGTGTCCCGCCGTCATGAACTTCGGTGACAAGCATACCGTGTGTCCGTCCTGCACAAAAAAAAAGGGCATTCCCACGCCATAGCCCCTCCCCTCTCTCAACCCAATGCACACACAAACCCCCTCAAGAGCACGGTGCGGCGCCCCTGAGTCGATTCCGTGGTCCAAAAAGCAACTTCATGAATGGCAAAGGCCAACCAATCCACCATGTCTCGAAAGAATTGTGCTCAGTCTCGTCCCCTGTCTACTCGTAGAATAGCCCGTGTCGATTATTGGGAAGAAAAACCTGATCTCCGATCTCGGTAGCCACAAGCATGTACTTTACCTTGTCAGGCTGTATTGTAGGGTATAAGCTACTAGGTACTTGGATAGAGAAACATACCACCATCCGCTCCTGGACAGGCGCAATCGGAAACAATCAAGACGCCTCCAGTATCGCCCTCTTGGTGGCGTCGTCCTGCGCCCACCCCACGATGCGCATCCCCACGTCCCCGACCAGCCGCTCGTAGTGCGGGCCCGGCAGGAACAGGCCCGTGTGCGCCCCGATCTCGTCCACGCCCTCCATAAACACCTCGACCCACTGGCTGTCCCGCCCGCCGCCCGCAGGCTTCTTGGGGAGCGTGCAGAACTTGCGCGGCTTCTTGCTCTTCTTGGGCGCGCCGCCGCCCTCCTCGGCTGGCGGCGGCTTGGCGTCCTCGGCCTGCTGCTGCTGCTGCTGCTGCTGCTGCTGCTGCTGCTGCTGCTGCTCCTCCGCCTGGCCAGAGGGGGCGGCGGCGGCGCTGCTCCCGGTCACGACGCCCTCCGCCGCCTGCCGCAGCGCAGTGTCATGCTTCGCGAGGTCCGCCTGACGGTCGACCGAGTCGCTGCTCCCACTGCCACTGCCTCTCTCGCTCCCTTCGACAGCATCCGTCTGATCCCCCTCGCTCTGCTGCTGCCCCTGCGTCCCCTGCGCGAGCCGCTTCGCCTCCTCCTCCATCCTCTTCCCCTCGTCCGCTAGCCTCTTGGCTTCGTCTTTCTCCCTCTTGAGCCGCTCCTTTTCCTGCCTCTGCTCCTCCTTCTCGCGCCGTTTCTCCTCCGTCTGTTGCCTCTTCTTCTCCTCCTTTTCCTTCTTGGCCTCCTCCTTCTCCATCCTGGCCCGCCTCTTCTCGATCGCCTTCTGCCGCTCCTTGATGGCCTTCTCGCGCGCCTTTATCGCTTCCAGGTAGGCCTTGCGCGCCCGCATGTGCTCCTTGTCCGCCCTTTTGCGCTCCTCGGCGCTCGCGTCCGCCGCCAGCACCGGCGGCTGCGGCTCCTCTGGCCGCTCCGGGATCAGGTCCAGGCCCGTCTCCAGCCCGAGCTCCAGCTTGTTCAATCCCTCGGTGGCTGTAGATATCCCGCCGTCATCGCCCCCGGCAGCAGCAGCATCGCCTTTGGTCTCTGTTTCTGGCTCGGGATCCTTGGCGTCCGTGGTAAAGGAGGCAGCCGCAGCCGCAGGCTCAGGCGCGCTCCCCTTCTCTTTCTCCTGCTCCTGCTCGCTGATTGGGCCAACGACCTCCACGAGTTTAGGTCGTCCAAGATTACTATGATCCTCGATCGATATCCTCGGCGTGTCCGTCCCGTCGCCCCTGCCGTCGTCCGGGTGCAGATGAAGCCCGGACGGCTGCCGCGGGAGCGATGGCGAGGCCGGGTGGGATTCGGGCATGGGCCGCGGCGAGACCTCACGTAGGGGCGAGGATGGCCCGATGGACGCAGAGGGCGAGCGCGTGGCGACGCCGCCGACCCCCACGGTGTAGCCCGGAACCCCGGCGCCCGACGTGTCGAGGCGCGAGGGCGACCGGCCCCGGTCGGGCGTCTTGTCCCTTCCCGTAGATATCGTGAAGTAGTTGACGAAGCGGACGCGCGCCTTGTCTCTGCCGCCTCCGCCCTGGCCCAGCGGTGCCTGCTGGCCTCCAATCTCGTCCACGTCCTCGAGGCGCCGGACCGACTCGTAGCGCTCGTGCAGGCCGCGGAAGTCGGTGAGGGACTTGCCGTACTGCATGTGGCAGACGAGGTGGTTGGTGGCCGCCTCTATCAGGCTCGACCCCTCGATCTTGCGCTTCTTTGCAAAGTGCCACATGTTGCGCATCCACCCCCTGTCCTTGAACATGACGTCGTTCCAGAACGGCGGGTTGTAGTGCGGGTCCGGCGGGCCCCCGTTTTGCTGCTGCCCGAGGGACGAGGTCGACGGGAAGTACGACAGCGCCGCCGACGAGCCGTCGGGGCTCCCCAGGGGCGATATGTCCAGCGAGCCCCGGCTCAGGTCCAGCGAGCCCCTAGCCGCCGCGGCCGCGAGGTCGCTGTACACGTCGGTCGAAAGCCTGCCAGCCGGGTCCATGCCCGGGCTGAGCGGCGGGAAGCGGGGGCTGTGTGTGCTGGTCGGGCTCAGGCTGCCGCCGTCCTCTTCCTTTGGAGGCTGCGCCTTGCTGCGGAACAGGCTGGCTATGCCCGCGGCGATGATGCCCGGGTGCAGGCCCAGGAAGGGCGAGTCGAGCGCGATGATGCCCAGGATGCGGTGCCTGAACGGGCTGCCTGGGTGGGCGGGGGTGACACCCTCCCTGGGCTTGAGAAGGACCACGTCGGCGGCGAGAAGGCCGCCCATTGAGTGGCCGATGAGGACGACGTCCGTGTCGGGCGACTCGTGGGGCTCGAGCCATCGGCTAAAGTTCTCCGCCGCGACATCAATGTACCTGTACGTCTTGTATCGCGGGTAGATCTTTGTGTGGATGGCGTGCGAGCTCAGCGAGAACTTGAGCAGGTCGTGCACGTGCGCTGGGAACGAGCGGAACGAGCTGTCCTTGCCCATGTAACCGTGGACGTAGATAGCCAGCAGTATCCGCCGCCCGTCCTGGCGGGGGCGATGAATCTGGTGGCCGTCGGGCAGCATGTCGCCGGGGTCGGGGCTGCCGACATGGTGGTCGCCGCCAGCCGCCGCAGCAGCAGTAACGCCCTCCTCTTGTTCCCCTGTCATGGGATTCTGTCTCGCCTCCACGGCGTGACGGCAATGGGAAACCGTGATTCTCAGGATCAGATTGCCGACAGATGTGCAGATGGGGCTGGGTTAGAGCAGTCTGAATGAATGATGCTTCTGAACAATTCCAGGGGATAGGTTGATATCTATCGGTCGGTTTGGTCCAACTCAAGATCCGATGGTGCTGGCTGGCGGCCGTCTTTGGTGGTGCGCGACAGTGAGATGATGCAAAATTGACAGGGAGGTGCAGGTACCACGCCATCAAATGCCAGAACTAGTCGTTGGTCTGAAAGGAGCAGTCTAGGAGCTGTTCAAAGAAAAAAGAAAAAATGAAACGTCAGGCAGGTCAAATCCCCAGATCCATACCTAGAGGTAGCTATAGGGTTCAATAGGTGGTAAAAAAAAAAAAAAAAAAGAAGAAATCAAGCAGTGGAGGATAGGAATTAATGAATGGAGGTCACAATTTGCAATGGATCGCCACGCTGGTGCTGGCGGTCAATTCTTCACCTCTCAAGCGCGAGACTTTATGGGTCGCTAGCCCCCCATTGGACGAAGTCCCAGTCCAGCCGTCAAGCAGGTTCAACTGGTGGAAACCTACCTGGTAGCTCAGTATTCGACTCCAACGGCGGCAGTTGCAAACGACGTAGAGCAGCCCAACAACCCTAGCCAGGAATCCGGCTTGAGTTCAGTCAGGGGGTGGCATAAGATTGGGCAGCCCCGTCATTGGCGCCCCATGAGATGCGAAGTGTCTAAGCAAATCTCAACCGGCCTGGCGCTTCCATGGTCTGAGCCTCGAGCCACCACATGCCCAAGCCCAGCATGGAGGCCACTAACCCCACCTCCAGGCCCCCGCTGTGCGATGCAGCGGCACGCCTGGAGCGCTCGCTCCCACAGCGCGCCACATATGATCAACACACCCGAGACGGCTCGCAAAGCCACCCGCACTACAGCACCCCCATGACGTCACGCCACATTGACTTTCACGATCTCGGGCCTCCCGTCTTTCGGCCAGGAACCAACAGTTTGTGCACGAGACAGCCCCAAACCGGGCCAGCCAGCCACGACACGCATGCCTAGCGTGGTCTACTGGCCGCGACGCACCAAGCCCCCGAGGCCTGATGAGGCCAACAGTACGTATCACAACCGTCACAGACATATTTCTTGCTTTGCAACGACATGATAGCAAGCGGTGGGCCAACCATGTCCAAGAACGCTTTTTGATTGATTTGGACAAAGCAGTACTATCATCTCCGTAGAGTCGACTACCGTACCCTGAGAGGGTGCGGCCGCTGCTATCAAAGGGGAAAAAAAAAGGACGGGAAAGCTGGACTATCGAGGAGGGATAGGTAACAACATGAGAGAAGATGCCATGAAGCCAGCCGCCAACCGTCCGCCTACCTGAATGAAACAGCCTCCCTCACACCTCCGCCGGGGTGTCGTGTTGTGTCTCTTGGATTGTTTTTTTGTTCTTTCTCTTTTCGAGATATTTCCACAACCTGCAAACCAAACCCTTATCCGAGTCTCTCATTAGTGCATCGGCTTCTCTGAGCCAGTCAGTCCCCAACGCCATGCTGAAAGAAGAAACAAGGAAACAAGGAAACAAGTAAAAAGCCAAAATGCGGGCGAGGGAAAAAGAAAGTGCAGCCAGGACGTCCCCCATGTGCCCTTCCCCTGCGGAGTGGTCGACGGGAGACATCAAGAGGGCGAGCCAGTTCAGCCCTCAAGATGATGCCAGGCGCCACTTCCGATATCCCAATGCAATAAAAGACCAAAGTTTTCCGTGCGAAATTTTTATGCGGGTATATGTTGCGCGCTGTCGTGCTCCTTGATGTGGCCTTTCGGTGGCCCTTTCATCTCGGGGAGAATCTCTGGTTCGAGAGGGAAGCGGTGTCGAGGTAAGGTGGTTTACCCAACAGGGCGACATTCCCCAAGACGAGTCGGCGATGCGAAAAGACAATAAATCGAAGTGGTTCGCTTGAGAGGATACCCCCCCTCCAGTATCAACATGTGAGGATGCCAGCGTGCCAGCGGTCCATGGTGAAGCTCACTATGCCCCGACCATACCAGGACCGTAGCTCTGCTGCCGCACCGGCGCGCCAGGAAATTGCTGCGGGCCAGGAGTCCCGGGGTTCTGAAGCATGTGCATGTCAGCAAGAGACTCGAGTGCGCAAGGTGTGCTGGCATAGGTGGCAAGAAGCACCTTTTTCCTGCGCTTCTGGCCTCCCCTCTCGTCACCCTCCCCGGTCGAGTAGCCAACGTCTTGGTCATCGGCGAAAGCTTCGCCGTAGCCCTCGAAGCTGCTGTCACCATAGCTCCGCTTCTTTCCGGCTCTCCGCGGGCGGTTCGCATCGCCAATTGGCGGTTGTTGGCCGACCTTGGGTCTGTTCATGGGAGGCAGGTTGAGAGGGGTGTTTGGTGCAGTCGCCTTGGCCGACGATGTCTTCCCGGCGGCTTTGTCCGAAGACAGATCTCCAAGGACGGACGAGTCCCAGTCTCGCTTCGTAATGGGGCCTCTGGCCATGGTCGTCGCTCTGCCGAGGTTCTGGAGAACATCGCTCGAAAGTCCGGCCGTGATATCCTTACCGTGCACCTCGGTGTTGATCCAGTCCTCGGCCGGGGCCCAGAGCAGGGCCAGGAAGCTATCCGGGTCTTGCACGTCCTTCTTGACCGAGTCGAAGTGGCCAACCACACCCAGCTTCTTAATGTGGCCCTTGTACGTTTTCCGCATCGCGTTCTTTTCGCCGTTTGGCAGGACGCGAGCGACTTCGGCCGCAATTCCCGTCAGGTCATACGCCTCGAAGAGATCCTCCGATACTCGAGGGTAGGGAGTGCGATGCTCTGCGATACCAAGCGTTAACCCAAGGAGAGATCCAAATGTCAAGGTCACAATTTCCGTCATTTCGCCCGAGCGCACGGTCTAGCGAGACCGAGGCGACGGGCAGCGACGTCGGCAAGCATGTGCCAGCCAAACCAAATATCCGGAAGAATCCTGGGAAGGGAGAGCCTTACGGGATCTGCAAAGAAGATACTTCTCGCCGACGTCCAGGTGGAGGTTTTCGATGCCGAGCCTCCGGTCCTCGAGATGGGCCTTCTTCTGATCCCGGTCGCCGCCATCTTCGAGCGTCCGCTTGCGCTTCTGGGGGGACTCTTCCCCGATTGCCGTGTCGTGGTGCATCTCGGAAGGGATACAACTACCTGTGACACTATGCGCAGGGGTCGGGAGGGCCGAAGTGATTGAAGTCATCGACGTGTTCAGACTCGCGGTCGGGTCGCTCGTACTTGGTGAGGATTGCGAAGGACTCTGCGGGGTCTGAGGATGGAAGGACATGGTGCTGGCGTTGCCTGGCCGAGATGAGGCGATGCAGCAGGGTCCAGGTTCTCGCGGGTCGTTGACGAAGGAGAAAACACACGCGGTCGGTGTCGTGCGTTTGTTCGTTCGTTCGGTCGGTCGGTCGGTCGGTCGGTCTGGCGTGAGAGCGGGTCGCCGGGACACGGGTGCGAGTGTGGGAGAAAAATTCGACCTCGTCCAAGAAAAACGACTTGCGAACCCGGTAGACGAGCGTCTTTCGGATCGTCGGCGGGCGCTGGGTCGATGGAATCGATGGGCGCTGGCGGCTGGCAGGTCGCTGGGGAGAGCAGGCCTGGGTGGCGAGGCGCGCCAGAAAGCCGACGGCTATCGCTCCAGGGTTTGCGGACCCGTCATGCACGATTCGCTTCGGCAGGCCCGAAGTGAAGCGAAAAACTAAAATACGGATATAAAGAAATGAATGTGAAGAGAAAACCGGCGACTGGGCGACGATTTCCGGATGCGAGTTGGACGAAGGCGACGTCGGCGGGTGTTGTCAAAAGGCGGGTGTGGGTTGACCGAACCAGGTCGGTTGAGGTTGGCGATGGTTAGGGGAAAGAACTGGCGAGGCGGCGGGCGAGAGTGGTGGTGGTCCAGCCGGCCGGCCCAGTCGTGGCTCACTCAGTGTGAAGTCAGCTTTGGCTCACTTTGTCAGGCACACGGTTTGGGCGCTGGCGCATGGCCCGGGCGCCTAGCCGTGCTGGGTGGTGTGGACTGTGCGGGAGCTTGAGGGCGTTTGATCTTTGCTGGAGCGTTTGCTCAGTGCTAGAGCGCGGGCCCCCGCGTCGTCACAGTGTTCCGCACCGTCAGCCCATTGTTGCACCGCCGCACAGTGACGAGAAGCTGGGCCGTTTGCCGCCCAATCGGCTGTTCGCCTTCCGCACGCAAGTTCAGTCTCCCAACTAACTGAATGGCCCGCCCGTCACTTGACCTACCTGCTTTTTTTGTCTGCTTGTCTACTTTTGTTTCTTTGAGCCGCCCTGTCCGATGCGGTGTGGGACTTCACGGGGCGGCCGCTCTCGTGATAAAATTGCTTTTCGGCTGCCTTTGCGCCCCTTTCTTTCACTCGTCATTTGCTCTTCTGGGGGCCGCATTGCTGGTATTTTCCGGGCGGAGACCACCACGCGCCCTGCTTCTGGGTCTGTGTTTTGTGTTTTGTGTTGTGGTCGAGGTTCGGGGTCGCCTTGTGCGTTTCCGCCTCATCTCCTCTGTTTTTTCTATCCTTCTGAAACCAGACTTCCCGGACTGGCCGGAGACTTCTGCCAACGGCCTCACATCCTGGTGGGAATCATCTACCAAACCGAGTAAATTCTTCGTTCACTTTCCATTTTGATGCCTGTCCGATGCGCCGATGATCGCTGAACGAAACACACGTGCAATTGTCAAGGCAGCAGGCCTTGCCAGTCCCCACCCTCGATTGCAATTGCGCCCGGGCTTTTTTCTTCCTTTTGTTACGTTCTCCATAAAAGCATCCAATGTTTGGGCTGTCGAACCTACACGGTGCCTCCATTTCTGGCTTTATCCCCATCACTTTTGGCGGTACCCTCCCGCCAGATTGTGTGACTGTCTCGGTGATTTCTTGGGCTACGCTCGATGGAGCAATCAACCGCGCTGACTCCCAACGACCACCTGAGGCCATGCAATGCACCAGCCTGGCTACACACCGATTCCCCCTCTTGTGACAAAGCACAGCGTAACGCTGCCGACCGGGTCAGTTGTACCAGGCCGGGCCCCGCACAACCTTGGGGTGGGCGATGCTGGTGAAGCAGCATCAGACGCACGCACAGTATGCGATTATTCCGCGGGTATTCACGCCCAGATGGATCAGTGTCTCTGGACACGGACCCCTGCTACATACCGACTAGCGCGCCAAGGCTGCCAAGCAAATGTGATAGCCAAGACAGCCTCACAGCTTGGTGGAAACCATTGGGTTCAAGCAAGTACGTACGATGTCCAAAAAAAAAAGTGAGAGGGAGCCTGCACAGTGCCGACGCCAGAGACAGCCTCACAGCCTGCAGCCTGCAGCCTACATGGCCTCTATGGCGTCAGGCGACGAGGTGAGGCATGGCCTTGCGCCCCGGAGCAGCCCGAACCCAGTCATGTCCACTCATCCAGTGTGACTTTTAAAGTAACGTTGGGGTCAGACGGACAGGGCCTGACGAGGCGCACGACTGGGCAGACACGAGGTGCCACCCATGTTTAAATGGATTTGGCCTCAGATCATGCAGAGACATTGTGAATTGACAGCGTGTGTAGTGGCACGGACTTAGGACGACCCTCGACGGACAGATTCTTGCAGCCACACTCGGGGCCGACAGCCCGTGCCATGGCGGTCCTCCGTGAGGGGTAGAGTGGCTGTCCAGCCGGGGCTGAGACGCGCTTACTGGCAAAGGTAAGGCCGGATCCGATCGGCGGTACTTGATGTGCTCGGTCCGAGAAGTCCGGGTTTGGGTTGGCAGACGCAGGTGTTGCGTCGTACACCGACATGCCATTTTTGAAGCGCATATAACGCCGTCTTCCCGACCAGATAAGCGGCCATCCATTTCGCCCAGTCCTTGTCGAGTAGCAAAGCCTGCCACCACCGGTTTCTGTTTTCGGACCCGAAAGCTGGAGCTCGCGCGCTTTGTCGGGTGCGAGAGGAGTGTGTGAGTCAGGCAATCTCACCGCCGTCAATGGGCTGTTGGACACGTTACGACGACAACGAATGACGACCCGCCACGCGATTGATCGTCCACTTCACTGTTGAGGAAAAATAACTGCCACAGCGGTCACGATGGCACACCCCGATGACGATGAGAGTCGAGCCAGTGGGGCCGAGCCGCGACCGGACGAGCAGACGCCCCTCCTCGGCACAGCCGTTCCGCCGGTTGATGTCGACAGCCCGGCGGAGACGCAGGCCGCGGGCCAGACGGTCGGCGCGGCGGGAGAGGTGACGGTGCTGGTCGAGGGCATGTCCCAGACCAGGTTGGTGGTAATCATGTGCACAGCCTGGGTCGGAGTCTTTTTGGGAGCCGTCGACACCAGCATCTTCGCGACCCTCTCGGCGCCCATCTCGAGCGAGTTCCACTCCCTGAGCCTGTTCTCCTGGCTCGCCACAGCCTATCTCATTGCCAATGCCGCTTGCCAGCCCATCTCGGGCCGCCTCACCGACCTGTTCGGCCGCGGCCCGGGCCTGGTCTTCTCCAACATCGCCTTCGCGGCCGGCAACCTGATCTGCGGGCTCGCGCAGGACGGAAGCACCATGATCGTGGGCCGCGTCATCGCCGGCATAGGCGGCGGCGGCCTCATGTCTATCTCCACCTTCCTGGGCTCGGACCTCATCCCACTCCGCAAGCGGGGTGTCTACCAGGGCATCGGCAACCTCGCGTACGGCTCCGGCGCCATGCTAGGCGGCGTCTTTGGCGGGTTCGCCAACGACCACGCCGGCCTCGGCTGGCGCTTCGCCTTCCTCTCCCAGGTGCCCGTCGTGCTCGTCTCGGCCGTCCTGGCCTTCTGGCTCATCCGCATCCCGCCGAAGCTGTCCAACAAGTCGCTCATCTCGCGCATCGACTTCACGGGCGTCCTGCTCACCGTCTCGTTCCTGGTTCTGCTCCTGCTCGGGCTCAACGCCGGCGGCAACCTGGTCCCCTGGTCGCACCCGCTCGTGCTGACCAGCATCCCGCTCTCTCTCGTCGCCTTCGTGGCCTTTGTGTTCTGGGAGTCCCGCTCGCCGCAGCCCGTGATCCCGGTCCGCCTGCTGCTGGACCGCACCATCCTGGCCGCGTGCTTTGCAAACCTGTTCGGATGCATGTCCCTCATGATGGTGGTGTATTTTGTGCCCCTCTACATGCAGGTGCTGGGCCACAGCGCCTCCGAGGCCGGCATCCGCCTCATCAGCTCCCCGCTCGGCACCGCCATCTCGTCCCTGACCAGCGGCGTCGTCATGAAGCGGACGGGCCGGTACGTCTGGCTCGGCGTCGCGGCCCTGACCGTCTACGTCTCGGGCTTCATCGTCGCCACCACGCTGGACCAGGACTCGTCCAGCTGGACGCCCATGGCGGCGCTCTTCCTGCTCGGGCTCGGCTTCGGCGCCATGCTGACCATCACGCTCATGGCCTGCCTGGCCGCCGCCGACCACTCGAACCAGGCCGTCATCACGTCGGCCACGTACGCGTTCCGGTCCATCGGCTCGACCCTGGGCATCACGGTCGCGTCCGCAATCTACCAGAACGAGCTGCGCGCGCGCCTCTGGGCCCGCTTCGGGGACCTGCCCGGCGCGGCCGAGGAGATTGCGCGGATCCGCGACGACCTCGGCGAGCTGAAGCGCCTGCCCGAGGGCTGGCGCGAGGGCGTCATCCTCTCGTTCATGGGGTCGTTTAAAGGCGTCTGGCTGATGGCCCTGGGGCTGGCGACCTTGGCGCTCGTGTCCGTGTCGCTGCTGAAGCAGCACACGCTGCATTTTACGCTTTCTCGGAAGTGAATATGAAGGGGATAAGATGGGTAACGGAGAAAGGCCATGTATGGATTATTAAGGTGCTTTTGATGCCACTTCTCCTCATTCTCTTCATTCTCTTCATTCTCTTCATTCTCTTCATTCTCTTCATTCTCTTCATTCTCTTCATTCTCTTCATTCTCTTCATTCTCTTCATAGCCATTGAAGACTGGACCAAGGAAATAGCTGTTGCTAGCATCTGGTGTCTTGCACTAAGCCTCAAGCTGCTATTATAAATCTTGACGAGTACCCGCCTGAATCCCATGTTTTATACGTTCCTAGTACATATGAAATCTTGACGAGTACCTGCCTGAATTCCATGTTTTATATATTCCTAGTACATATGAAATCTTGACGAGTACCTGCCTGAATCCCATGTTTTTATACGTTCCCAGTACATATGGAATCTCCCTCAAAACAATCATGCATATCCACGTGCGGCTCAGTGAGTGAATGGCGAGGCATGACACTGACAGGGTGACATGCTGTCAATTTTTTTTTCATTTTTTTTCCAGCTAGAACCGAGCACTGACTGCTTGCTGCATGCAGCCCGCGATGAACCGAATTTGGGACCATCGAATGCCACCCAAAGCTGGTGCAGCCTGTTGCGACAGCTTTCCTTTGGACCGTTAGGGTAATTAGGTTTGGCCCCTTGCCCCCATTTGCCAGGATCAGCTGAGATCCACGGTTCACAGTCAGGGCAAACCAAAGACAAGGGAGGATTCGGTCGCATAGAATCATCTTTTGCGGCACCCAACCATGATTCTCTCCGTGACAGGCATCTCCCGTGCAGGCATCCCCCAACGGCCGGCCATGATTGGCCCAGGCACGGCGGCTGAGGCGCTGAGGAACGGGATTATCAACCAGGGGGGATCTTCCTCAGCCAGGCGGTTGAACAAATGAGCCCTGCACCCTGGTCTGGCCATGGTGGCGCAGACCGTCACCTGCAGGCCAAGGTGGCGTTGCCTGTTCGCTCGTCAGCTCAGTCCCGAATCCGCATTCAATCCGACCGCAAGGCGGGAGCGAGATGTAAATCTGTCGGCTGTTGTCTTGTTTGGGCATGGGTTGTTTGTGGCAATGGAATCAATTGGGTGCATAGGCGGGCAGGCGGGCTTAGGATGAATCAATGTCGACAGAGGCCCCCGCCTTTTGAAGCCCGACCAGGCGTTCCTTCTCTGTCGCTGCTGTGCCCCCTTTTGGTGAGGCGTTTTGGGGCTGTTTTGTCTGGGTCAAAAAAAAAACATGGGGATGGTCCGACTGACACGCGTGTACCGCTTCTCGCAGCCTTGGCATCTGGATCTTCGTCTTCTGGGTGTTCTCCAACTGCCAGCCCGTCTTCAATCCCCCCACAACGCAGGGTTGTAGCACATACATGATAACCTCACAGTACTAACGCCGAGTTTTGGGCTTGGGTCTTGCGTAATCCGCCCCCCTGCGACCTTTTCTTCCTCCTCCCTTGGAGCCCTCCGGCCTGCACAAACTTATTTACTATTTTTGCAACCCTTTTCCTCCTATCATTGTTTGTGACCGCCCTGTCCCTACTTTTTCGCTGTCTTCCCTCCGATCGCACTGCACGCACGGACGAACCCCTAGGAAAAGTCCAAAGCTCAGCCCGCAACGGGGCACAGCAGCAGTCTCCTGGCAACCGCTTCCCGCCTTGGTGCCGGACCCGCGCCCAGCTGAAAACTAAACCCGTCTGGCCCGGCTCCTCGTGGTTCCAGCCCAGCCCAGCCTAGCCCAGCCCACTGTCCTACATAGGTTGCTCCTCGCCCGCTCTCTAAAGCAGATCTCACGGCGGCGATCGAAAACGACAAACGACAGATAATACGAGAGCAGCAAACGCCCAACGCATCGATTCCGAGCCATCCCCAACGTCGCCCAAAATGGTTTGGGAGGACGTCGAGTTTGACGCCGACAAGGTTCCCAACATCAAGTTAGGCCTGCACATCGCCCAGATCGTGTTTGGGTTTGTGGGCTGGTGTCTCGAGATAGTCGTCTTCCGGGCCGATGGGTCGCTCATCAACGGCAATGTTGGCTGGACCTTTGCAGTTGTACGTTCTCCCGTCTTGAGGGAAGGCCGAACCCGAACATGACATGGTGAGCAAACAGAGCAGAGCCAAGACATACTAACAGCGAGCCACGAACCGCCACAGTTCTTCCTCAGCATCCCCGCATGGATCTACCTCATAGGCGCCCCCAGGTCGCCGCGGGCACGACACCTGGCTGAGCCGCACGTCATGGTGGCAGTGGATTCCATCTTCGCCATCATCTGGCTGTCGGCGTTTGCCACGCAGGCCGCCTACAACACGGCCGACCAGTGCGGCACCGCCTGCGCCGCCAGCAAGGCCATCGTCGGCCTCGGCTTTTTCGTCTGCCTCTTCTTCGCCGTCACGATGGCCATCAGCATTTACAGCCTCAAGTACTACCAGTTCAACGGCCGCCTGCCCGGCTACGACCGCCTGGGCGGTGGCGTCGGCGGCGACGGCCAGAACATCGACCCGGACAAGGCCGCCTTCTCCATGGCGCCCCACGGCGGCGAGGACGCCTACACCCCGATCCACGGCCGCGACGAGGACGAACGCCGCGACGACCCGCTCGACCCGCGCGACGACCACGGCGGCCCTTACATGAACACTGCCTACAATAGCAATAGCTATAGCTCCGCCGCCGCCGGCGGCCATCAGGCCGCGGGCAACCCATACGGTGGCGGCGCCGGTGGCTTCGCCGAGCCCGACCCCTACGGCGGCAGCGTCGGCAGCCGCCTCGGCCGTAACGGCAACCCCTTCGACCAGGGCCGCAACGACAACAACCCCTTTGGCGACGCCGACCACACGGGCTACGTGCCCCCGGCCCACACCACGAGCCCCGGGCCCGGCCTCCACGGCCGCGTCAGCCCGAACCCCACCACCTACAGGCCGCCCAGCGCCCAGGACGGCTACGACGACACCAGGCCCGCCCAGTTCCCCGCTGGCAACTACGACCGCACGCTCCACTGAGGTGGCCGCATGAGCAGGACTCGTCGAGCTAGCTCCCCCCGCCCTGAGATTGGTCGAGCCGCGTCGACTCAAGGTTTTGGTTAATAGAGTCGCGAGACAGTGCCTCCGTATTCACCATGTCCTCGTCTTCATTCCTCCGAGGGCTGTCTTTCCCCTATTCGACCGAGATGGGCTGGTTTGTCCCTCGTATTGTCCATCCCCCCCCCTCTTTTTTTTTTCTCGCCGTCATAACTATTTCCGTTTACATGTATACGAAACCTATATTTTGGTGAGCCGGGAAACGACATGGCATGAACAAAAGATCATGGATTTTTTCAGAAGCACTACATTCGGCTCAAGTTGGTAGCGTGTGTGAGGCTAACCCTGGGTTGGGTAGTCTAGAGGTTCTTTTTTCTGCTTGGTATGTCTCTCTATGTACAGGTAGAAGCCATGTGTGCGCACATGGCACACGCGAGGGGATGGTGTTATGAGGCGTCTCGTTGGGTTGTCCATGGTAAATTTACATAGCAAATATCAACGCTTCCATGATGTCTCAACCGTCATGATCTGCTTTCATACGTGAAATTGTATATGCCGTTGATTTGCTTGACTTTTCCATATTACAATCAGTACTTGAGATCCCCAACCACTAACACCAAAACGCCGATGCCATGCCCCTTTTTGAATATGTACAAAGAGACGACCAAAAATTTCTTCGTTTTACTATTCCCCCTTCCACCTCCTCATCCTCTTGGCAATCTGCGCCGGCGTCTGCTGCATGGGATTGAGCCTGTGGTCCCTCGCCATGGCCCTGAAGTCGTCGCCGTGCTTGGCCGCCAGCCTGCCGAGCCACTCGGCCTCGCGCTCGCTGATGTGGCGCACCGTCTTGGCCACGGGCACGCGCGCCATCCGCTCCAGGTCGTCGGCGACCTTGTAAGGCCTGTCCTTCTTGATCGCCCGCCGCCTCTCGTCGTCGCCGTCTTCGTCCGACAGCCCGTCCCAGCCGTCATGACCCCCGCCGCCGCCGCCGCCATTGCCGTGCCCCGAGTCGTCCTCGTCGGATAGTATGTCGTTGAGCGGGTCGTTGAGCGGGTTCTCGCCCTCGCCGGGCCGCACTATGCGCACAATCTTGCCGCTCGCGTCGCGCTCGACGCGCACCTCGCGCACGGCGCCGGGCACCACGGAGCTGATGGCCAGCGGCTGCTTGCTGCTACCTCCGCTGCTGCTGCCCGGGTTCGCGATGTCGGTAGTCTTGTCGACCCCGCCCGAGGGCGCCTTGAGCCGGTTCAGGAGGCCGAGGCGGCGGTAGTTTTGCGTCAGGGTCTCGTCCTTGTTCCTGGTTGAGACGAAAGGGGAAGTCTGTTAGCGGTCGCCGTTGCGCCCGGGGGGGGGGGG